CTAGAGGGAGAATTACCTCTGATACCTCCCTCCCTGTAGCTTGTTTAATTCACCATGTCGTATGCCTACTCAAATCCAAGATTGACTGGTGGTTGATATGCAAATGACATTGTGTAATTGGGTTATTTATTACTGCGTGTGCAAAACATAATGTCAAGGTATCAATTACAAAGAGAAGAGTGATTATATAATCGAAACTGCTATTGATCGCGTATATTCACTGCAAAATGCGGACTCTGCATTAAACTGCATCGGTCCCTAACAAGGACCGAGTATATTTCGACAGTCACATCACGTTTTTCACTACAGACAAAACGCGCGCGAGATAAAAGTACCCGAATCTGTACAGTAGATTTGAGAGTTTCGACTTTTTGGCGGGCGTTTCAACGAGTGACCAAACGTGATAACCCTGCGGGGCGAGGATTGATCAAGCGTGATAGCGCTGTGATAATGCGTGATAGCGAAGTACTGTACTGTGACTGTCCGTGATAACCCCGTGACCAAACGTGATAATACGGCCATAATTGTGACTGCGCGTATAATTTCCCGACAAACATCTGGAATTTTTCATCCCTGCCCAGGAGCCCTCGGCGCATTACGACAAATTGTTCGGCGAGTCTGGACAAACTACCCGAAGAAGCTGACGTCATCTGACATTGAGTACGGATTCAACATAATCGAGTGAGGTATTTTCGACTTGGTTACTGCTTCGACGACCATCGCCAACTCTCGTATAGCGACTCGCTGCCAATCGCCTTCATCGCCGACAACTTCGTACCACCCCTGATTTTACGGCCAGAGGATTTCAGGACGAGCCGTTTCATCTCTACTAGCGACAACTCGCCCCACTCGACCCGCCCACGACAAACGTTTTGAGTTCAACTGCTGCCAGCTGCAACTGCTGAAGATATCGCCTGATTCTGGCGATGTGTGGACAATTTACGTTCAGTTCGAGTACTCAGCAATTTTCATTTCGGTTCCTGGTCTACTTCTCCGGGTTCGACATCGAAGATTTTATGGGCACTTCACACCTTGTTTCGTCATCGTTTTCCTACACCGACGCCTTTTCGCCTGGACTTTAACGCTCAACGCGTGTTTAAGTGCGACTTAACACCTGAGTCTCTTATTTGGTTTTCTCATCTCGGCGCAACTGCGGGACTTTTCTGGTGTGTTTTCTTGGAAGGGAAAGAAAGTGCGCTGCACTGTTTTCTTTCCTTGGCGTTTCTGACTTTGTCAGGATGCAGTAGCACGACGGACGACTGCGATCGCTTCATCGACATCAACGGTCTCTGCTACATCGCGACTGATCACCGCGTCAGCAGGTTCCCCCACATTCGCGTCATTGTCGACCGTCAGATCGAGTTCAAATTGCATCAACGGCTTCAATTCCAGCTTTCAGTTCGATTTGGTCAAATCATCTGCAACCGTCAGATCAAAATCGAATTTGATCAATGGTCCACGTTCCAACCTTCTCTTCAAATTCGCCCAAGGCATTTCAGCCGTCGGATTCAGCTGAAAAGAAGATCGGCAGTGTCCTTGCTAGTGTGGGATTCGGCTAAGTACAAGACGGCCTTATTTGGAAGGCGGGAGAGTGTAAGGAATTGTAATTCCTTACTGTACTCGCACTTTAGCGAGTACATCCCGAGGGTCACGCGACGAACCTGTTCTGCCTAATTCGTCGGCCGAACCACTCCCGAGTCGGCCTCCGCTTTAATCGCATCCATCACCGAGCCATCCTCGCCCAACCTCCCCGCCTTGCTAGGACTTCCCCTATTTAGGCCTCGTCACTTCCATTGTATCGTCATTCTGTAATTCTCATTCTCGTTATTCGATATCTGCGCACTCTGACAAGTTCATTCATAACACAAAGGTTTATCACTTGCCTTTTGGTGGTTACCCGGTTTGTGGTTGGGGGTCAGACGCAAACCAAAGTTCAGTGTTGGCGGACTTGCGCGGATAGTCTCTTCCCCCTTCGTCAGTTGTGACGGGCCTAATGGGAGTTGGGAACTTGATTCCCGACCAGGCAGTTGGTGAACCACGAAGCTTGTGACTGTCGAACCAGCTCACTCATATTCCAAGCAAAAGAGTAGCTTAGCAACCACCGCTCGTATTCCATGCAAAGGAGTAGCTTAGCAACCACCGCCACAGCGCACCGTTATCATGAGATCGTTAGTTCTTCTGACGATAATCAAGACTGGGGCCGTAGCACAGTTTAGCCGAAGTCGTAACGTCGCTCCCGTGCCAGCCCTTCAAGTTCAGCACGCCGCCCAGTATTTATCTCTCCCGCACTTCGGCTCTTCCGCCAGACCTATGGCAGTTCCCCTTTAGTGCGCATTTCGCCGCGATGGCGCACTCAGATCGCCGTCTAGGGTTAACAGGCGTGTCGCATCCCGCACGTCGCGTGCCGTCGTTTTCTCGTCCAAGCAACCGCTAGCCGTCCTATGTCGCCGCCAATCGCAGCAACGGGTATCATCGTGACAACCGGGTCCTGCGCCTAGGCGGCCCATGCGGGCAGCAGCGGCGGCAGCAGAGGGGATGGATGGGGAGGCGCGGCTGTCGACGGAGGAGGCGCAGGTCCTGAGTAGGCATACATGACATTCTCTAGATGATTCACGACCGCCTAGGTCTCTCGCGACATTCGTAAATCTTGTAACATTCTGGACTCTAGTGACATCGCACGCTTCGCTCACCTCCCTTCTGTCCACGTTTCAACTTTCCTCTCCCCCCCCCCCCCCCCTCCCTCTCCCCATTTCCCTCCCGCTTACTCTGCCTCCCAACAATCTCCGTGCGCCTGCTGCGTGCAGATCCGCTTGGAGGTGATGATTGAGGACCCGCGCGAGGTGGAGCGGCGGCGGCAGATGGGCATCGAGAATGAAATCGGGTGCTCCTACAACGAGATCGTCGATGCATTCCGCGAGGTAAAAAGGAGAGGGGAAGAAGGAGAGCTTGCTATAGCATGGGAAGAGGGTGGATGAGAGGTGGGGATAGGGTGAGGGCGGAGAAAGTGAGGTTGCGGGGGTTGGTTGGTGAGGAATGTGTGAAGGGGATACGTGGCGAAGAGGGACGTTTTCAACACTCGTATTTTGCTCGTCAAAGTTGCAAATCCTCGTCGTGCTCCACCTCTCTTGCTCCCGTCCGTCCTTGGGCGCTCAGGTGTGCACACCGTGCGTCGAGCCCCACCCTTAGCCCTTCTTGCCCTGCATAATCTTTCCCCCTCAGTGCCCTCCCCAACCTTTCCCCCTCTAGTCCCCCCCTCCCTTTCCCCTCTCCCCTCCCTTCCTCAACCCCCACCTGCCCCTGCAGACTGCAGCGGTGCAAGTACAGCATGCTGCAGCGCAAGCTAGTTTAGGGACATCTCGATAACCCTCCCCTTCCCCCTCACTGCCCTCCCCGCCCTCGTCTCCATGCCCGTTCCCCTCTGTGTTCCCCTTCCCCACCCCCCACGTGTTCGATGACCCGCAGTCCGTTTGGTGCTTGTTTTAAGACAGCTATGAACATTTCCCTTTTTGCCCTCCCCTACGCTGCTCCCTCACCTCTCTCCCCCGCCTTCCCCTCCACCCCTCTCCCCCACCCTTCTCTCCCTACCCCTCTCCCCCACCCTTCTCTCCCTACCCTTCTCCCCCACCCTGTCATTTCTCCCCACTCTGTCATTTCTCCCCACCCTGGCATTTCTCCCCACCCTGTCATTTCTCCCCACTCTGTCATTTCTCCCCACCCTGTCATTTCTCCCCACCCTGTCATTTCTCCCCACCCTGTCATTTCTCCCCACCCTGTCATTTCTCCCCACCCTGTCATTTCTCCCCACCTTGTCATTTCTCCCCACCTTGTCATTTCTCCCCACTCTGTCATTTCTCCCCACCCTGTCATTTCTCCCCACCCTGTCATTTCTCCCCACCCTGTCATTTCTCCCCACCCTTTCATTTCTCCCCACCCTGCTACCCTGCTATTTCTCCCCTCCTTGTCATTCCCTCCCCCCCCCCCCCTGTCATTTCTCCCCTCCCTGCTCCTCTCTTTCCTTCCCCCCTGCTAACCTTGTGTTTACGCCCGGCTCAGTCTTTCTTTTCCCCTTCTTACCCTTAGTTCCTCCCTCCTCACTCTTTTCTTTTCCCCATGCTCTTTCTCTCACCATCCTTGTCCCTATGCCACTCGTTATCTCACAATCTGTTTATGCTCCCCTGTCTGCTCATTCACACCTTCCCTCTCCCTTAAGTGGTGCAGGTTGTCGAGCATGAAGCACCCAAGATGACAATTAGTTGAGCCTAGGATAGTGCGGACCCTCTCCATGTCGAGAATCGTAGAATGATGTTACTTACAACAGAATATACATTCACGTCAGAAACATGATATTCAATAATGATGGCATTGGTGATGTACCGTATGGCCCCGGATATAAGCGCAGGCCTATTAAAAGCGCATGCGCTTGTATCTGGAGCAATGCGCTTATGGCCGATCCTCAATTATAAGCGCACCCCTTATAAAACCCTGATATATTATAAGCGCATGTGTAATTTTATTTATAATTCTTCATTAAAACGGTAACGAATCTCAGTTTTGCAGCGAGGCCACAACCCATTTTCGCTTACATTGACTTTCGAAGACCTCTCACATCCTGCGCGTCCAGTCAGCACGAGCTGGCACGCCCTCAAAGTGAGGTGTTACACTGTATTTTGCCTCTGGGCGCTCGCGAAGAATCGCCCGCGCGCGATTTTGACATGTGACTTTCTACAATTTCGATTCGATTGAAATCTGAAGGATGAGATGTACAATTTGGTGCATTGAAATATATATTTGTATTTGTTATATTATAAGCGCATGCGCTTATAATTTTTACTCAATTATAAGCGCACCCCCCAAAAAAACACTGTTTTATTATAAGCGCAGGTGCGCTTATATCCGGGGTAATACGGTACGTTCAGTGAAGATTTCCTTTTTTAGCAACAATGCTCTACATGTGAAGTACAGACTATTGCACTAGTATTGTTCTACAAATATCTCGATGTTCAAAACAGTGTCCCACCACTCCTCTTACCGTATTGTTTCAACTCCTCTATGTACTCTTGCCCCTGCTGCTGCACCCTTGCGCCACCAAACTTGTGAAGGCACGGCTTCGTCCTGCACATAGCAAGACACTAGAGGAGGTAGCACGCTCACAGGGTGATGCAGGGAGGAGAGACGGGGATACGGGGAGAAAAAAGGGGAGGCAGGGAGGTGAAGAGATGCGAAGGGAAGGGAAGGGAACGGAAGAGAGGGGAAAGGAATGGAGGTAAGGGAGGAGAGAGGAAGGGAAGTGCAGGGAGGACAAAGGAAGGGGAGTAAAGGGAAGGGAGGAGGGGAGGGGAATGGAAGAAAAGGGAAGGGAGTGGTAGTGTATTGCGAGGGAGTGAGAAGGTTCTCTGTGAGGGGGAACAGGACAGTGCGACCTGGGGGATGGGGGAGGAGGGACCTAGGGGGAAGGGGAAGTGTGACCCGGGGGAAAGGGGAGGAGGGGGATTGGGGGGAAGCAGGGGGGGAAAGAGGGGAAGCAGTGGGGGAAATGAAGGCACGCAAGGGGGGAAAGCTAGAGCAACGGGGAAGAAAGGGGAGAAACGGAGGGAAGGCGGAAAGGAAGGAAGGGAATGAGGGGTTAGAGGGGGGATCAATAAGGGAAAGGAAGTTGGTACATGAGGGAAAGGAAGGGAGAGAGGAGGACAGGGGGGAGAGGACAAGGGGGGAGAGCGGAGGACAGGGGGGAGAGGACAAGGTTGAGACGCATGCAGGGAGAAGCGGACATGGAGGAAAGTGGAGACAAGGGAAGGACAGCCAGTTTCGTCCCTAAAGGCGGCGAGGTGGCGGTGGAGGCGAAGGCGATGAGAGGGCGATGCGTCAAGCAGCGACGAGGAGGCGGCATGGAGGAAGGGAGGAGCAGACGAAGGGAGGGATGGATGAAGGGATACAAGGAGGAAGAGAAGTTGGGGGGACGGGGGCAAGAGAGTCCAGCAGCACCACGTCCGCCTCTTCTGTGTGACTCTGCCCGCCGCCATCAACCCACAGCACCCCAAGGAAGAGGAGATGGGAGAATTATATCATTTGATTGTTGCCTCTGTAAACTCTTGCCCTTTACGTTAGCTTGCAGGCAAGCGCTCGCTAGAGGGAGAATTACCTCTGATACCTCCCTCCCTGTAGCTTGTTTAATTCACCATATCGTATGCCTACTCAAATCCAAGATTGACTGGTGGTTGATATGCAAATGACATTGTGTAATTGGGTTATTTATTACTGCGTGTGCAAAACATAATGTCAAGGTATCAATTACAAAGAGAAGAGTGATTATATAATCGAAACTGCTATTGATCGCGTATATTCACTGCAAAATGCGGACTCTGCATTAAACTGCATCGGTCCCTAACAAGGACCGAGTATATTTCAACAGTCACATCACGTTTTTCACTGCAGACAAAACGCGCGCGAGATAAAAGTACCCGAATCTGTACAGTAGATTTGAGAGTTTCGACTTTTTGGCGGGCGTTTCAACGAGTGACCAAACGTGATAACCCTGCGAAGCGAGGAGTGATCAAGCGTGATAGCGCTGTGATAATGCGTGATAGCGAAGTACTGTACTGTGACTGTCCGTGATAACCCCGTGACCAAACGTGATAATACGGCCATAATTGTGACTGCGCGTATAATTTCCCGACAAACATCTGGAATTTTTCATCCCTGCCCAGGAGCCCTCGGCGCATTACGACAAATTGTTCGGCGAGTCTGGACAAACTACCCGAAGAAGCTGACGTCATCTGACATTGAGTACGGATTCAACATAATCGAGTGAGGTATTTTCGACTTGGTTACTGCTTCGACGACCATCGCCAACTCTCGTATAACGACTCGCTGCCAATCGCCTTCATCGCCGACAACTTCGTACCACCCCTGATTTTACGGCCAGAGGATTTCAGGATGAGCCGTTTCATCTCTACTAGCGACAACTCGCCCCACTCGACCCGCCCACGACAAACGTTTTGAGTTCAACTGCTGCCAGCTGCAACTGCTGAAGATATCGCCTGATTCTGGCGATGTGTGGACAATTTACGTTCAGTTCGAGTACTCAACAATTTTCATTTCGGTTCCTGGTCTACTTCTCCGGGTTCGACATCGAAGATTTTATGGGCACTTCACACCTTGTTTCGTCATCGTTTTCCTACACCGACGCCTTTTCGCCTGGACTTTAACGCTCAACGCGTGTTTAAGTGCGACTTAACACCTGAGTCTCTTATTTGGTTTTCTCATCTCGGCGCAACTGCGGGACTTTTCTGGTGTGTTTTCTTGGAAGGGAAAGAAAGTGCGCTGCACTGTTTTCTTTCCTTGGCGTTTCTGACTTTGTCAGGATGCAGTAGCACGACGGACGACTGCGATCGCTTCATCGACATCAACGGTCTCTGCTACATCGCGACTGATCACCGCGTCAGCAGGTTCCCCCACATTCGCGTCATCGTCGACCGTCAGATCGAGTTCAAATTGCATCAACGGCTTCAATTCCAGCTTTCAGTTCGATTTGGTCAAATCATCTGCAACCGTCAGATCAAAATCGAATTTGATCAATGGTCCACGTTCCAACCTTCTCTTCAAATTCGCCCAAGGCATTTCAGTCGTCGGATTCAGCTGAAAAGAAGATCGGCAGTGTCCTTGCTAGTGTGGGATTCGGCTAAGTACAAGACGGCCTTATTTGGAAGGCGGGAGAGTGTAAGGAATTGTAATTCCTTACTGTACTCGCACTTTAGCGAGTACATCCCGAGGGTCACGCGACGAACCTGTTCTGCCTAATTCGTCGGCCGAACCACTCCCGAGTCGGCCTCCGCTTTAATCGCATCCATCACCGAGCCATCCTCGCCCAACCTCCCCGCCTTGCTAGGACTTCCCCTATTTAGGCCTCGTCACTTCCATTGTATCGTCATTCTGTAATTCTCATTCTCGTTATTCGATATCTGCGCACTCTGACAAGTTCATTCATAACACAAAGGTTTATCACTTGCCTTTTGGTGGTTACCCGGTTTGTGGTTGGGGGTCAGACGCAAACCAAAGTTCAGTGTTGGCGGACTTGCGCGGATAGTCTCGTCCCCCTTCGTCAGTTGTGACGGGCCTAATGGGAGTTGGGAACTTGATTCCCGACCAGGCAGTTGGTGAACCACGAAGCTTGTGACTGTCGAACCAGCTCACTCATATTCCAAGCAAAAGAGTAGCTTAGCAACCACCGCTCGTATTCCATGCAAAGGAGTAGCTTAGCAACCACCGCCACAGCGCACCGTTATCATGAGATCGTTAGTTCTTCTGACGATAATCAAGACTGGGGCCGTAGCACAGTTTAGCCGAAGTCGTAACGTCGCTCCCGTGCCAGCCCTTCAAGTTCAGCACGCCGCCCAGTATTTATCTCTCCCGCACTTCGGCTCTTCCGCCAGACCTATGGCAGTTCCCCTTTAGTGCGCATTTCGCCGCGATGGCGCACTCAGATCGCCGTCTAGGGTTAACAGGCGTGTCGCATCCCGCACGTCGCGTGCCGTCGTTTTCTCGTCCAAGCAACCGCTAGCCGTCCTATGTCGCCGCCAATCGCAGCAACGGGTATCATCGTGACAACCGGGTCCTGCGCCTAGGCGGCCCATGCGGGCAGCAGCGGCGGCAGCAGAGGGGATGGATGGGGAGGCGCGGCTGTCGACGGAGGAGGCGCAGGTCCTGAGTAGGCATACATGACATTCTCTAGATGATTCACGACCGCCTAGGTCTCTCGCGACATTCGTAAATCTTGTAACATTCTGGACTCTAGTGACATCGCACGCTTCGCTCACCTCCCTTCTGTCCACGTTTCAACTTTCCTCTCCCCCCCCCCCCCCCTCCCTCTCCCCATTTCCCTCCCGCTTACTCTGCCTCCCAACAATCTCCGTGCGCCTGCTGCGTGCAGATCCGCTTGGAGGTGATGATTGAGGACCCGCGCGAGGTGGAGCGGCGGCGGCAGATGGGCATCGAGAATGAAATCGGGTGCTCCTACAACGAGATCGTCGATGCATTCCGCGAGGTAAAAAGGAGAGGGGAAGAAGGAGAGCTTGCTATAGCATGGGAAGAGGGTGGATGAGAGGTGGGGATAGGGTGAGGGCGGAGAAAGTGAGGTTGCGGGGGTTGGTTGGTGAGGAATGTGTGAAGGGGATACGTGGCGAAGAGGGACGTTTTCAACACTCGTATTTTGCTCGTCAAAGTTGCAAATCCTCGTCGTGCTCCACCTCTCTTGCTCCCGTCCGTCCTTGGGCGCTCAGGTGTGCACACCGTGCGTCGAGCCCCACCCTTAGCCCTTCTTGCCCTGCATAATCTTTCCCCCTCAGTGCCCTCCCCAACCTTTCCCCCTCTAGTCCCCCCCTCCCTTTCCCCTCTCCCCTCCCTTCCTCAACCCCCACCTGCCCCTGCAGACTGCAGCGGTGCAAGTACAGCATGCTGCAGCGCAAGCTAGTTTAGGGACATCTCGATAACCCTCCCCTTCCCCCTCACTGCCCTCCCCGCCCTCGTCTCCATGCCCGTTCCCCTCTGTGTTCCCCTTCCCCACCCCCCACGTGTTCGATGACCCGCAGTCCGTTTGGTGCTTGTTTTAAGACAGCTATGAACATTTCCCTTTTTGCCCTCCCCTACGCTGCTCCCTCACCTCTCTCCCCCGCCTTCCCCTCCACCCCTCTCCCCCACCCTTCTCTCCCTACCCCTCTCCCCCACCCTTCTCTCCCTACCCCTCTCCCCCACCCTTCTCTCCCTACCCTTCTCCCCCACCCTGTCATTTCTCCCCACTCTGTCATTTCTCCCCACCCTGGCATTTCTCCTCACCCTGTCATTTCTCCCCACTCTGTCATTTCTCCCCACCCTGTCATTTCTCCCCACCCTGTCATTTCTCCCCACCCTGTCATTTCTCCCCACCCTGTCATTTCTCCCCACCCTGTCATTTCTCCCCACCCTGTCATTTCTCCCCACTCTGTCATTTCTCCCCACCCTGTCATTTCTCCCCACCCTGTCATTTCTCCCCACCCTGTCATTTCTCCCCACCCTGTCATTTCTCCCCACCCTTTCATTTCTCCCCACCCTGCTACCCTGCTATTTCTCCCCTCCTTGTCATTCCCTCCCCCCCCCCCCCTGTCATTTCTCCCCTCCCTGCTCCTCTCTTTCCTTCCCCCCTGCTAACCTTGTGTTTACGCCCGGCTCAGTCTTTCTTTTCCCCTTCTTACCCTTAGTTCCTCCCTCCTCACTCTTTTCTTTTCCCCATGCTCTTTCTCTCACCATCCTTGTCCCTATGCCACTCGTTATCTCACAATCTGTTTATGCTCCCCTGTCTGCTCATTCACACCTTCCCTCTCCCTTAAGTGGTGCAGGTTGTCGAGCATGAAGCACCCAAGATGACAATTAGTTGAGCCTAGGATAGTGCGGACCCTCTCCACGTCGAGAATCGTAGAATGATGTTACTTACAACAGAATATACATTCACGTCAGAAACATGATATCCAATAATGATGGCATTGGTGATGTACCGTATGGCCCTGGATATAAGCGCAGGCCTATTAAAAGCGCATGCGCTTGTATCTGGAGCAATGCGCTTATGGCCGATCCTCAATTATAAGCGCACCCCTTATAAAACCCTGATATATTATAAGCGCATGTGTAATTTTATTTATAATTCTTCATTAAAACGGTAACGAATCTCAGTTTTGCAGCGAGGCCACAACCCATTTTCGCTTACATTGACTTTCGAAGACCTCTCACATCCTGCGCGTCCAGTCAGCACGAGCTGGCACGCCCTCAAAGTGAGGTGTTACACTGTATTTTGCCTCTGGGCGCTCGCGAAGAATCGCCCGCGCGCGATTTTGACATGTGACTTTCTACAATTTCGATTCGATTGAAATCTGAAGGATGAGATGTACAATTTGGTGCATTGAAATATATATTTGTATTTGTTATATTATAAGCGCATGCGCTTATAATTTTTACTCAATTATAAGCGCACCCCCCAAAAAAACACTGTTTTATTATAAGCGCAGGTGCGCTTATATCCGGGGTAATACGGTACGTTCAGTGAAGATTTCCTTTTTTAGCAACAATGCTTTACATGTGAAGTACAGACTACTGCACTAGTATTGTTCTACAAATATCTCGATGTTCAAAACAGTGTCCCACCACTCCTCTTACCGTATTGTTTCAACTCCTCTATGTACTCTTGCCCCTGCTGCTGCACCCTTGCGCCACCAAACTTGTGAAGGCACGGCTTCGTCCTGCACATAGCAAGACACTAGAGGAGGTAGCACGCTCACAGGGTGATGCAGGGAGGAGAGACGGGGATACGGGGAGAAAAAAGGGGAGGCAGGGAGGTGAAGAGATGCGAAGGGAAGGGAAGGGAACGGAAGAGAGGGGAAAGGAATGGAGGTAAGGGAGGAGAGAGGAAGGGAAGTGCAGGGAGGACAAAGGAAGGGGAGTAAAGGGAAGGGAGGAGGGGAGGGGAATGGAAGAAAAGGGAAGGGAGTGGTAGTGTATTGCGAGGGAGTGAGAAGGTTCTCTGTGAGGGGGAACAGGACAGTGCGACCTGGGGGATGGGGGAGGAGGGACCTAGGGGGAAGGGGAAGTGCGACCTGGGGGAAAGGGGAGGAGGGGGATTGGGGGGAAGCAGGGGGGGAAAGAGGGGAAGCAGTGGGGGAAATGAAGGCACGCAAGGGGGGAAAGCTAGAGCAACGGGGAAGAAAGGGGAGAAACGGAGGGAAGGCGGAAAGGAAGGAAGGGAATGAGGGGTTAGAGGGGGGATCAATAAGGGAAAGGAAGTTGGTACATGAGGGAAAGGAAGGGAGAGAGGAGGACAGGGGGGAGAGGACAAGGGGGGAGAGCGGAGGACAGGGGGGAGAGGACAAGGTTGAGACGCATGCAGGGAGAAGCGGACATGGAGGAAAGTGGAGACAAGGGAAGGACAGCCAGTTTCGTCCCTAAAGGCGGCGAGGTGGCGGTGGAGGCGAAGGCGATGAGAGGGCGATGCGTCAAGCAGCGACGAGGAGGCGGCATGGAGGAAGGGAGGAGCAGACGAAGGGAGGGATGGATGAAGGGATACAAGGAGGAAGAGAAGTTGGGGGGACGGGGGCAAGAGAGTCCAGCAGCACCACGTCCGCCTCTTCTGTGTGACTCTGCCCGCCGCCATCAACCCACAGCACCCCAAGGAAGAGGAGATGGGAGAATTATATCATTTGATTGTTGCCTCTGTAAACTCTTGCCCTTTACGTTAGCTTGCAGGCAAGCGCTCGCTAGAGGGAGAATTACCTCTGATACCTCCCTCCCTGTAGCTTGTTTAATTCACCATATCGTATGCCTACTCAAATCCAAGATTGACTGGTGGTTGATATGCAAATGACATTGTGTAATTGGGTTATTTATTACTGCGTGTGCAAAACATAATGTCAAGGTATCAATTACAAAGAGAAGAGTGATTATATAATCGAAACTGCTATTGATCGCGTATATTCACTGCAAAATGCGGACTCTGCATTAAACTGCATCGGTCCCTAACAAGGACCGAGTATATTTCAACAGTCACATCACGTTTTTCACTGCAGACAAAACGCGCGCGAGATAAAAGTACCCGAATCTGTACAGTAGATTTGAGAGTTTCGACTTTTTGGCGGGCGTTTCAACGAGTGACCAAACGTGATAACCCTGCGAAGCGAGGAGTGATCAAGCGTGATAGCGCTGTGATAATGCGTGATAGCGAAGTACTGTACTGTGACTGTCCGTGATAACCCCGTGACCAAACGTGATAATACGGCCATAATTGTGACTGCGCGTATAATTTCCCGACAAACATCTGGAATTTTTCATCCCTGCCCAGGAGCCCTCGGCGCATTACGACAAATTGTTCGGCGAGTCTGGACAAACTACCCGAAGAAGCTGACGTCATCTGACATTGAGTACGGATTCAACATAATCGAGTGAGGTATTTTCGACTTGGTTACTGCTTCGACGACCATCGCCAACTCTCGTATAGCGACTCGCTGCCAATCGCCTTCATCGCCGACAACTTCGTACCACCCCTGATTTTACGGCCAGAGGATTTCAGGACGAGCCGTTTCATCTCTACTAGCGACAACTCGCCCCACTCGACCCGCCCACGACAAACGTTTTGAGTTCAACTGCTGCCAGCTGCAACTGCTGAAGATATCGCCTGATTCTGGCGATGTGTGGACAATTTACGTTCAGTTCGAGTACTCAACAATTTTCATTTCGGTTCCTGGTCTACTTCTCCGGGTTCGACATCGAAGATTTTATGGGCACTTCACACCTTGTTTCGTCATCGTTTTCCTACACCGACGCCTTTTCGCCTGGACTTTAACGCTCAACGCGTGTTTAAGTGCGACTTAACACCTGAGTCTCTTATTTGGTTTTCTCATCTCGGCGCAACTGCGGGACTTTTCTGGTGTGTTTTCTTGGAAGGGAAAGAAAGTGCGCTGCACTGTTTTCTTTCCTTGGCGTTTCTGACTTTGTCAGGATGCAGTAGCACGACGGACGACTGCGATCGCTTCATCGACATCAACGGTCTCTGCTACATCGCGACTGATCACCGCGTCAGCAGGTTCCCCCACATTCGCGTCATCGTCGACCGTCAGATCGAGTTCAAATTGCATCAACGGCTTCAATTCCAACTTTCAGTTCGATTTGGTCAAATCATCTGCAACCGTCAGATCAAAATCGAATTTGATCAATGGTCCACGTTCCAACCTTCTCTTCAAATTCGCCCAAGGCATTTCAGCCGTCGGATTCAGCTGAAAAGAAGATCGGCAGTGTCCTTGCTAGTGTGGGATTCGGCTAAGTACAAGACGGCCTTATTTGGAAGGCGGGAGAGTGTAAGGAATTGTAATTCCTTACTGTACTCGCACTTTAGCGAGTACATCCCGAGGGTCACGCGACGAACCTGTTCTGCCTAATTCGTCGGCCGAACCACTCCCGAGTCGGCCTCCGCTTTAATCGCATCCATCACCGAGCCATCCTCGCCCAACCTCCCCGCCTTGCTAGGACTTCCCCTATTTAGGCCTCGTCACTTCCATTGTATCGTCATTCTGTAATTCTCATTCTCGTTAGTCGATATCTGCGCACTCTGACAAGTTCATTCATAACACAAAGGTTTATCACTTGCCTTTTGGTGGTTACCCGGTTTGTGGTTGGGGGTCAGACGCAAACCAAAGTTCAGTGTTGGCGGACTTGCGCGGATAGTCTCTTCCCCCTTCGTCAGTTGTGACGGGCCTAATGGGAGTTGGGAACTTGATTCCCGACCAGGCAGTTGGTGAACCACGAAGCTTGTGACTGTCGAACCAGCTCACTCATATTCCAAGCAAAAGAGTAGCTTAGCAACCACCGCTCGTATTCCATGCAAAGGAGTAGCTTAGCAACCACCGCCACAGCGCACCGTTATCATGAGATCGTTAGTTCTTCTGACGATAATCAAGACTGGGGCCGTAGCACAGTTTAGCCGAAGTCGTAACGTCGCTCCCGTGCCAGCCCTTCAAGTTCAGCACGCCGCCCAGTATTTATCTCTCCCGCACTTCGGCTCTTCCGCCAGACCTATGGCAGTTCCCCTTTAGTGCGCATTTCGCCGCGATGGCGCACTCAGATCGCCGTCTAGGGTTAACAGGCGTGTCGCATCCCGCACGTCGCGTGCCGTCGTTTTCTCGTCCAAGCAACCGCTAGCCGTCCTATGTCGCCGCCAATCGCAGCAACGGGTATCATCGTGACAACCGGGTCCTGCGCCTAGGCGGCCCATGCGGGCAGCAGCGGCGGCAGCAGAGGGGATGGATGGGGAGGCGCGGCTGTCGACGGAGGAGGCGCAGGTCCTGAGTAGGCATACATGACATTCTCTAGATGATTCACGACCGCCTAGGTCTCTCGCGACATTCGTAAATCTTGTAACATTCTGGACTCTAGTGACATCGCACGCTTCGCTCACCTCCCTTCTGTCCACGTTTCAACTTTCCTCTCCCCCCCCCCCCCCCCTCCCTCTCCCCATTTCCCTCCCGCTTACTCTGCCTCCCAACAATCTCCGTGCGCCTGCTGCGTGCAGATCCGCTTGGAGGTGATGATTGAGGACCCGCGCGAGGTGGAGCGGCGGCGGCAGATGGGCATCGAGAATGAAATCGGGTGCTCCTACAACGAGATCGTCGATGCATTCCGCGAGGTAAAAAGGAGAGGGGAAGAAGGAGAGCTTGCTATAGCATGGGAAGAGGGTGGATGAGAGGTGGGGATAGGGTGAGGGCGGAGAAAATGAGGTTGCGGGGGTTGGTTGGTGAGGAATGTGTGAAGGGGATACGTGGCGAAGAGGGACGTTTTCAACACTCGTATTTTGCTCGTCAAAGTTGCAAATCCTCGTCGTGCTCCACCTCTCTTGCTCCCGTCCGTCCTTGGGCGCTCAGGTGTGCACACCGTGCGTCGAGCCCCACCCTTAGCCCTTCTTGCCCTGCATAATCTTTCCCCCTCAGTGCCCTCCCCAACCTTTCCCCCTCTAGTCCCCCCCTCCCTTTCCCCTCTCCCCTCCCTTCCTCAACCCCCACTTGCCCCTGCAGACTGCAGCGGTGCAAGTACAGCATGCTGCAGCGCAAGCTAGTTTAGGGACATCTCGATAACCCTCCCCTTCCCCCTCACTGCCCTCCCCGCCCTCGTCTCCATGCCCGTTCCCCTCTGTGTTCCCCTTCCCCACCCCCCACGTGTGCGATGACCCGCAGTCCGTTTGGTGCTTGTTTTAAGACAGCTATGAACATTTCCCTTTTTGCCCTCCCCTACGCTGCTCCCTCACCTCTCTCCCCCGCCTTCCCCTCCACCCCTCTCCCCCACCCTTCTCTCCCTACCCCTCTCCCCCACCCTTCTCTCCCTACCCTTCTCCCCCACCCTGTCATTTCTCCCCACTCTGTCATTTCTCCCCACCCTGGCATTTCTCCCCACCCTGTCATTTCTCCCCACTCTGTCATTTCTCCCCACCCTGTCATTTCTCCCCACCCTGTCATTTCTCCCCACCCTGTCATTTCTCCCCACCCTGTCATTTCTCCCCACCCTGTCATTTCTCCCCACCTTGTCATTTCTCCCCACTCTGTCATTTCTCCCCACCCTGTCATTTCTCCCCACCCTGTCATTTCTCCCCACCCTGTCATTTCTCCCCACCCTTTCATTTCTCCCCACCCTGCTACCCTGCTATTTCTCCCCTCCTTGTCATTCCCTCCCCCCCCCCCCCCTGTCATTTCTCCCCTCCCTGCTCCTCTCTTTCCTTCCCCCCTGCTAACCTTGTGTTTACGCCCGGCTCAGTCTTTCTTTTCCCCTTCTTACCCTTAGTTCCTCCCTCCTCACTCTTTTCTTTTCCCCATGCTCTTTCTCTCACCATCCTTGTCCCTATGCCACTCGTTATCTCACAATCTGTTTATGCTCCCCTGTCTGCTCATTCACACCTTCCCTCTCCCTTAAGTGGTGCAGGTTGTCGAGCATGAAGCACCCAAGATGACAATTAGTTGAGCCTAGGATAGTGCGGACCCTCTCCACGTCGAGAATCGTAGAATGATGTTACTTACAACAGAATATACATTCACGTCAGAAACATGATATCCAATAATGATGGCATTGGTGATGTACCGTATGGCCCCGGATATAAGCGCAGGCCTATTAAAAGCGCATGCGCTTGTATCTGGAGCAATGCGCTTATGGCCGATCCTCAATTATAAGCGCACCCCTTATAAAACCCTGATATATTATAAGCGCATGTGTAATTTTATTTATAATTCTTCATTAAAACGGTAACGAATCTCAGTTTTGCAGCGAGGCCACAACCCATTTTCGCTTACATTGACTTTCGAAGACCTCTCACATCCTGCGCGTCCAGTCAGCACGAGCTGGCACGCCCTCAAAGTGAGGTGTTACACTGTATTTTGCCTCTGGGCGCTCGCGAAGAATCGCCCGCGCGCGATTTTGACATGTGACTTTCTACAATTTCGATTCGATTGAAATCTGAAGGATGAGATGTACAATTTGGTGCATTGAAATATATATTTGTATTTGTTATATTATAAGCGCATGCGCTTATAATTTTTACTCAATTATAAGCGCACCCCCCAAAAAAACACTGTTTTATTATAAGCGCAGGTGCGCTTATATCCGGGGTAATACGGTACGTTCAGTGAAGATTTCCTTTTTTAGCAACAATGCTTTACATGTGAAGTACAGACTACTGCACTAGTATTGTTCTACAAATATCTCGATGTTCAAAACAGTGTCCCACCACTCCTCTTACCGTATTGTTTCAACTCCTCTATGTACTCTTGCCCCTGCTGCTGCACCCTTGCGCCACCAAACTTGTGAAGGCACGGCTTCGTCCTGCACATAGCAAGACACTAGAGGAGGTAGCACGCTCACAGGGTGATGCAGGGAGGAGAGACGGGGATACGGGGAGAAAAAAGGGGAGGCAGGGAGGTGAAGAGATGCGAAGGGAAGGGAAGGGAACGGAAGAGAGGGGAAAGGAATGGAGGTAAGGGAGGAGAGAGGAAGGGAAGTGCAGGGAGGACAAAGGAAGGGGAGTAAAGGGAAGGGAGGAGGGGAGGGGAATGGAAGAAAAGGGAAGGGAGTGGTAGTGTATTGCGAGGGAGTGAGAAGGTTCTCTGTGAGGGGGAACAGGACAGTGCGACCTGGGGGATGGGGGAGGAGGGACCTAGGGGGAAGGGGAAGTGCGACCTGGGGGAAAGGGGAGGAGGGGGATTGGGGGGAAGCAGGGGGGGAAAGAGGGGAAGCAGTGGGGGAAATGAAGGCACGCAAGGGGGGAAAGCTAGAGCAACGGGGAAGAAAGGGGAGAAACGGAGGGAAGGCGGAAAGGAAGGAAGGGAATGAGGGGTTAGAGGGGGGATCAATAAGGGAAAGGAAGTTGGTACATGAGGGAAAGGAAGGGAGAGAGGAGGACAGTGGGGAGAGGACAAGGGGGGAGAGCGGAGGACAGGGGGGAGAGGACAAGGTTGAGACGCATGCAGGGAGAAGCGGACATGGAGGAAAGTGGAGACAAGGGAAGGACAGCCAGTTTCGTCCCTAAAGGCGGCGAGGTGGCGGTGGAGGCGAAGGCGATGAGAGGGCGATGCGTCAAGCAGCGACGAGGAGGCGGCATGGAGGAAGGGAGGAGCAGACGAAGGGAGGGATGGATGAAGGGATACAAGGAGGAAGAGAAGTTGGGGGGACGGGGGCAAGAGAGTCCAGCAGCACCACGTCCGCCTCTTCTGTGTGACTCTGCCCGCCGCCATCAACCCACAGCACCCCAAGGAAGAGGAGATGGGAGAATTATATCATTTGATTGTTGCCTCTGTAAACTCTTGCCCTTTACGTTAGCTTGCAGGCAAGCGCTCGCTAGAGGGAGAATTACCTCTGATACCTCCCTCCCTGTAGCTTGTTTAATTCACCATATCGTATGCCTACTCAAATCCAAGATTGACTGGTGGTTGATATGCAAATGACATTGTGTAATTGGGTTATTTATTACTGCGTGTGCAAAACATAATGTCAAGGTATCAATTATAAAGAGAAGAGTGATTATATAATCGAAACTGCTATTGATCTCGTATATTCACTGCAAAATGCGGACTCTGCATTAAATTGCATCGGTCCCTAACAAGGACCGAGTATATTTCAACAGTCACATCACGTTTTTCACTGCAGACAAAACGCGCGCGAGATAAAAGTACCCGAATCTGTACAGTAGATTTGAGAGTTTCGACTTTTTGGCGGGCGTTTCAACGAGTGACCAAACGTGATAACCCTGCGAAGCGAGGAGTGATCAAGCGTGATAGCGCTGTGATAATGCGTGATAGCGAAGTACTGTACTGTGACTGTCCGTGATAACCCCGTGACCAAACGTGATAATACGGCCATAATTGTGACTGCGCGTATAATTTCCCGACAAACATCTGGAATTTTTCATCCCTGCCCAGGAGCCCTCGGCGCATTACGACAAATTGTTCGGCGAGTCTGGACAAACTACCCGAAGAAGCTGACGTCATCTGACATTGAGTACGGATTCAACATAATCGAGTGAGGTATTTTCGACTTGGTTACTGCTTCGACGACCATCGCCAACTCTCGTATAGCGACTCGCTGCCAATCGCCTTCATCGCCGACAACTTCGTACCACCCCTGATTTCACGGCCAGAGGATTTCAGGACGAGCCGTTTCATCTCTACTAGCGACAACTCGCCCCACTCGACCCGCCCACGACAAACGTTTTGAGTTCAACTGCTGCCAGCTGCAACTGCTGAAGATATCGCCTGATTCTGGCGATGTGTGGACAATTTACGTTCAGTTCGAGTACTCAACAATTTTCATTTCGGTTCCTGGTCTACTTCTCCGGGTTCGACATCGAAGATTTTATGGGCACTTCACACCTTGTTTCGTCATCGTTTTCCTACACCGACGCCTTTTCGCCTGGACTTTAACGCTCAACGCGTGTTTAAGTGCGACTTAACACCTGAGTCTCTTATTTGGTTTTCTCATCTCGGCGCAACTGCGGGACTTTTCTGGTGTGTTTTCTTGGAAGGGAAAGAAAGTGCGCTGCACTGTTTTCTTTCCTTGGCGTTTCTGACTTTGTCAGGATGCAGTAGCACGACGGACGACTGCGATCGCTTCATCGACATCAACGGTCTCTGCTACATCGCGACTGATCACCGCGTCAGCAGGTTCCCCCACATTCGCGTCATCGTCGACCGTCAGATCGAGTTCAAATTGCATCAACGGCTTCAATTCCAACTTTCAGTTCGATTTGGTCAAATCATCTGCAACCGTCAGATCAAAATCGAATTTGATCAATGGTCCACGTTCCAACCTTCTCTTCAAATTCGCCCAAGGCATTTCAGCCGTCGGATTCAGCTGAAAAGAAGATCGGCAGTGTCCTTGCTAGTGTGGGATTCGGCTAAGTACAAGACGGCCTTATTTGGAAGGCGGGAGAGTGTAAGGAATTGTAATTCCTTACTGTACTCGCACTTTAGCGAGTACATCCCGAGGGTCACGCGACGAACCTGTTCTGCCTAATTCGTCGGCCGAACCACTCCCGAGTCGGCCTCCGCTTTAATCGCATCCATCACCGAGCCATCCTCGCCCAACCTCCCCGCCTTGCTAGGACTTCCCCTATTTAGGCCTCGTCACTTCCATTGTATCGTCATTCTGTAATTCTCATTCTCGTTATTCGATATCTGCGCACTCTGACAAGTTCATTCATAACACAAAGGTTTATCACTTGCCTTTTGGTGGTTACCCGGTTTGTGGTTGGGGGTCAGACGCAAACCAAAGTTCAGTGTTGGCGGACTTGCGCGGATAGTCTCTTCCCCCTTCGTCAGTTGTGACGGGCCTAATGGGAGTTGGGAACTTGATTCCCGACCAGGCAGTTGGTGAACCACGAAGCTTGTGACTGTCGAACCAGCTCACTCATATTCCAAGCAAAAGAGTAGCTTAGCAACCACCGCTCGTATTCCATGCAAAGGAGTAGCTTAGCAACCACCGCCACAGCGCACCGTTATCATGAGATCGTTAGTTCTTCTGACGATAATCAAGACTGGGGCCGTAGCACAGTTTAGCCGAAGTCGTAACGTCGCTCCCGTGCCAGCCCTTCAAGTTCAGCACGCTGCCCAGTATTTATCTCTCCCGCACTTCGGCTCTTCCGCCAGACCTATGGCAGTTCCCCTTTAGTGCGCATTTCGCCGCGATGGCGCACTCAGATCGCCGTCTAGGGTTAACAGGCGTGTCGCATCCCGCACGTCGCGTGCCGTCGTTTTCTCGTCCAAGCAACCGCTAGCCGTCCTATGTCGCCGCCAATCGCAGCAACGGGTATCATCGCGACAACCGGGTCCTGCGCCTAGGCGGCCCATGCGGGCAGTAGCGGCGGCAGCAGAGGGGATGGATGGGGAGGCGCGGCTGTCGACGGAGGAGGCGCAGGTCCTGAGTAGGCATACATGACATTCTCTAGATGATTCACGACCGCCTAGGTCTCTCGCGACATTCGTAAATCTTGTAACATTCTGGACTCTAGTGACATCGCACGCTTCGCTCACCTCCCTTCTGTCCACGTTTCAACTTTCCTCTCCCCCCCCCCCCCCTCCCTCTCCCCATTTCCCTCCCGCTTACTCTGCCTCCCAACAATCTCCGTGCGCCTGCTGCGTGCAGATCCGCTTGGAGGTGATGATTGAGGACCCGCGCGAGGTGGAGCGGCGGCGGCAGATGGGCATCGAGAATGAAATCGGGTGCTCCTACAACGAGATCGTCGATGCATTCCGCGAGGTAAAAAGGAGAGGGGAAGAAGGAGAGCTTGCTATAGCATGGGAAGAGGGTGGATGAGAGGTGGGGATAGGGAGAGGGCGGAGAAAGTGAGGTTGCGGGGGTTGGTTGGTGAGGAATGTGTGAAGGGGATACGTGGCGAAGAGGGACGTTTTCAACACTCGTATTTTGCTCGTCAAAGTTGCAAATCCTCGTCGTGCTCCACCTCTCTTGCTCCCGTCCGTCCTTGGGAGCTCAGGTGTGCACACCGTGCGTCGAGCCCCACCCTTAGCCCTTCTTGCCCTGCATAATCTTTCCCCCTCAGTGCCCTCCCCAACCTTTCCCCCTCTAGTCCCCCCCTCCCTTTCCCCTCTCCCCTCCCTTCCTCAACCCCCACCTGCCCCTGCAGACTGCAGCGGTACAAGTACAGCATGCTGCAGCGCAAGCTAGTTTAGGGACATCTCGATAACCCTCCCCTTCCCCCTCACTGCCCTCCCCGCCCTCGTCTCCATGCCCGTTCCCCTCTGTGTTCCCCTTCCCCACCCCCCACGTGTGCGATGACCCGCAGTCCGTTTGGTGCTTGTTTTGAGACAGCTATGAACATTTCCCTTTTTGCCCTCCCCTACGCTGCTCCCTCACCTCTCTCCCCCGCCTTCCCCTCCACCCCTCTCCCCCACCCTTCTCTCCCTACCCCTCTCCCCCACCCTTCTCTCCCTACCCTTCTCCCCCACCCTGTCATTTCTCCCCACTCTGACATTTCTCCCCACCCTGTCATTTCTCCCCACCCTGTCATTTCTCCCCACCCTATCATTTCTCCCCACCCTGTCATTTCTCCCCACCCTGTCATTTCTCCCTACCTTGTCATTTCTCCCCACTCTGTCATTTCTCCCCACCCTGTCATTTCTCCCCACCCTGTCATTTCTCCCCACCCTGCTACCCTGCTATTTCTCCCCTCCTTGTCATTCCCTCCCCCCCCCCCCTGTCATTTCTCCCCTCCCTGCTCCTCTCTTTCCTTCCCCCCTGCTAACCTTGTGTTTACGCCCGGCTCAGTCTTTCTTTTCCCCTTCTTACCCTTAGTTCCTCCCTCCTCACTCTTTTCTTTTCCCCATGCTCTTTCTCTCACCATCCTTGTCCCTATGCCACTCGTTATCTCACAATCTGTTTATGCTCCCCTGTCTGCTCATTCACACCTTCCCTCTCCCTTAAGTGGTGCAGGTTGTCGAGCATGAAGCACCCAAGATGACAATTAGTTGAGCCTAGGATAGTGCGGACCCTCTCCACGTCGAGAATCGTAGAATGATGTTACTTACAACAGAATATACATTCACGTCAGAAACATGATATCCAATAATGATGGCATTGGTGATGTACCGTATGGCCCCGGATATAAGCGCAGGCCTATTAAAAGCGCATGCGCTTGTATCTGGAGCAATGCGCTTATGGCCGATCCTCAATTATAAGCGCACCCCTTATAAAACCCTGATATATTATAAGCGCATGTGTAATTTTATTTATAATTCTTCATTAAAACGGTAACGAATCTCAGTTTTGCAGCGAGGCCACAACCCATTTTCGCTTACGTTGACTTTCGAAGACCTCTCACATCCTGCGCGTCCAGTCAGCACGAGCTGGCACGCCCTCAAAGTGAGGTGTTACACTGTATTTTGCCTCTGGGCACTCGCGAAGAATCGCCCGCGCGCGATTTTGACATGTGACTTTCTACAATTTCGATTCGATTGAAATCTGAAGGATGAGATGTACAATTTGGTGCATTGAAATATATATTTGTATTTGTTATATTATAAGCGCATGCGCTTATAATTTTTACTCAATTATAAGCGCACCCCCCAAAAAAACACTGTTTTATTATAAGCGCAGGTGCGCTTATATCCGGGGTAATACGGTACGTTCAGTGAAGATTTCCTTTTTTAGCAACAATGCTTTACATGTGAAGTACAGACTACTGCACTAGTATTGTTCTACAAATATCTCGATGTTCAAAACAGTGTCCCACCACTCCTCTTACCTTATTGTTTCAACTCCTCTATGTACTCTTGCCCCTGCTGCTGCACCCTTGCGCCACCAAACTTGTGAAGGCACGGCTTCGTCCTGCACATAGCAAGACACTAGAGGAGGTAGCACGCTCACAGGGTGATGCAGGGAGGAGAGACGGGGATACGGGGAGAAAAAAGGGGAGGCAGGGAGGTGAAGAGATGCGAAGGGAAGGGAAGGGAACGGAAGAGAGGGGAAAGGAATGGAGGTAAGGGAGGAGAGAGGAAGGGAAGTGCAGGGAGGACAAAGGAAGGGGAGTAAAGGGAAGGGAGGAGGGGAGGGGAATGGAAGAAAAGGGAAGGGAGTGGTAGTGTATTGCGAGGGAGTGAGAAGGTTCTCTGTGAGGGGGAACAGGAAAGTGCGACCTGGGGGATGGGGGAGGAGGGACCTAGGGGGAAGGGGAAGTGCGACCTGGGGGAAAGGGGAGGAGGGGGATTGGGGGGAAGCAGGGGGGGAAAGAGGGGAAGCAGTGGGGGAAATGAAGGCACGCAAGGGGGGAAAGCTAGAGCAACGGGGAAGAAAGGGGAGAAACGGAGGGAAGGCGGAAAGGAAGGAAGGGAATGAGGGGTTAGAGGGGGGATCAATAAGGGAAAGGAAGTTGGTACATGAGGGAAAGGAAGGGAGAGAGGAGGACAGGGGGGAGAGGACAAGGGGGGAGAGCGGAGGACAGGGGGGAGAGGACAAGGTTGAGACGCATGCAGGGAGAAGCGGACATGGAGGAAAGTGGAGACAAGGGAAGGACAGCCAGTTTCGTCCCTAAAGGCGGCGAGGTGGCGGTGGAGGCGAAGGCGATGAGAGGGCGATGCGTCAAGCAACGACGAGGAGGCGGCATGGAGGAAGGGAGGAGCAGACGAAGGGAGGGATGGATGAAGGGATACAAGGAGGAAGAGAAGTTGGGGGGACGGGGGCAAGAGAGTCCAGCAGCACCACATCCGCCTCTTCTGTGTGACTCTGCCCGCCGCCATCAACCCACAGCACCCCAAGGAAGAGGAGATGGGGTGAGGAGTGTTAATGGGAGTGGAGTGTTGGCCCCGCCCTTGCTTGGGCAACGCGGACGACTTGGTCGGATGTACGGGAGTAGCAGCCGACCGTTCACAGTGGGAGAGCTGCTCGACAGGCTTCGTCGAGCTGCAGGGGACCGCTGTGGTGTTGCTCTCGACCAAGGAGCTCGACAGCTTCAAATGAGTGGTCTGGGCGACGGGTGGGCCGTCGACCAGGAGGGGCAGTTCAACCGGGAGGTCGACGGAGCAGTCAGTCGACCTGCAAGTGAGCAGCGGTCGACGAGGGGAGCTCGGCGACAACCGCTGACAGTTCTAGTCGACGGAAGGGGTCCGTCGACCAGGGGGTAGCTCGACAGGAGCTGTGGTCGACCAGGGGCACCTGTTGGTCGACCAGAGGGACCTGGTGGTCGACCAGAGGCAGTGGTGGTCGACCGGAAACACCTGGTGGTCGACCAGGTCGACCGGGTAACCTGCTCGACGAGTTTGGCGGAGACACGCGAACGTCGTCGAGGTCGCGATGGCGAATACGACTGCGGGCTGGTATTCCGAAGTCGATGTGGCTCGTCAGGTTCAGACAACAGCCGACGGATGCCCAATGGGGCAAGTCGGGCCAATCATCTGCGCGCACCTGCGAGCGTGCGCACTGTTGTGTTCTACGGGGCAACGCTGGACAGCCGCTCTGCTGCAGCGTTGGCACGCCGTCGACCTGCTCTGTTGGCAGGTCGCCTTTCCGCAGTGCTGGCGCGGCTCCTCTACGCAACGCTAGCAGGCGGTCGACCAAGCTGTGCTAGCGGTTGACCAGGCTAGCTATAGAGTTGCTAGGTTCCTGATGTAGTCATTCTTGTCATTGTGAACTCAATCAATTATGTAATTTCGACTTTGCCTAGTGGAAACTCTTGCCAATTTCTCCCGTGAATGTGCAAGCACTAAGGAACTAAGCAAAGCTACGATCACTCCTAGTAGTTCATGCCAACCCCCGTAGTCTAGCTCACTACCATTGTAGAGTGATTCTCCGCATGGTGCGGTGAGCGTGGACGACCCCGCAGATTACCTTCAGACTGGAGCCGACTTTTGCACCTACTAAGTCGTTCGTAGGTCGGAAGTAGCGATAGTCACCATGGTCGACCCTGTAGCTAATGCGGGTGTAGCGGACACCTTGGAGACACGCTTGGCTGATGCGAGGAAACGCCACGCGGATGGTGAGTACGGAACAATCCCCTTGCTGATCGTCGAGTTGGGCATCCGGTCGCAGTGGACCCTTCCCATCCTGCATCTCCTCGACCGGTGTGCAACGAAGGTGGCGTCGACGACGAGGTCGACGGTGGTGCACGAGTCAGCGGCAGCGAAGGCACGAGGCAGAGAGGGGTGATCAAGGTCGACGGCGGTGTCGACGGAATCCAGGCGCGAGTGCAGCGGTAGACGGCAGCTGCAGGCAGCTCACGTGCCGACGTCGATGTTCGACGGCGCTCTCCTCTACGAAGTGGTGGAGGGCTCTCGGCGACGACGCATGTGACGGCGGGCGGGATTGCACCGGCGTACGGCTACTTCAAGTTCTCGCCGGATCGAATCACCGTCACACCTCTGCAAGGTCGACGGGACCTCATCACCTGGAGGGAGTCGATCGAACCTCAGCTGGAGGTCGCCGGGCTGAAGGGCTTCGCCAACGGCACCGTGCCCATTCCGCCCGAGGAGGATGTCGAGCTGCGCGGGGAGTTTCGTGCTGCCCACCTTCTCACCTTCATGGTCATCTCGAGGTGCTGCTCGCCGGTGGTGCAGCTAGCGCTCAGGAGCTGTCGAGAGCGATTGGATGCTGGCCACCAGGCATGGCATTTCATCATGTCGACGTACCAGGCCAGAGACGACCTGTACATCGGACAGCTGGAGGAGAAGATGACTCAAATTTGGATGGGCGAGCAGGAGTCGGCGACGGACTACTGCAACCGAGCTCGACGGATCCTAGCTGAGATGAGGGTCCAAGGGGAGGCCGGGAAGCAGGTCCTCATCCCCGACGTGCTCTACGTTCTGGGCGTACAGGCGAATCTGCTATCAGCTGGCCAACTGAATGAGAGCGGAGTGCAGCTGCAAGGCGACGGCGACGAGATGCTGCTCGTCACCGCGACAGGAGAGATACTCGGTCGAGCACGCTACACTGGACGAGTCCCCTGCACCGACCTTCGCCCCTGCTCGACGCGGTCGCCGTCGACCGAGGTGGTGGCTCTGCGGACGATTGTCTCGGCGACAGCGTTGACCCCTGACCAGTTGCATGTGAGGCGCGCGCACGTCGGCATCGACACGATTAAGAGCTCGGCGAAGCATGAAGTTGCTGTTGGGCTCGACATCACGCCGTCGACTGGAGCAGACCCGCTGTGTGTCTCGTGCGTCGAAGGAAAGCTGGCGCGGCACACCTTCCTCGACAAGGGCTCGGACGCCGAGGAGGCACTGGCTGTCGTGCATATTGACTTGGTGCGGGCCATTTCGGGTGGCTGTCAAGGATGGCAGCTTGTACTTCCTGCTGCTGAAGGATCGCCATACTCGGTTCGTATGGGCAATGCCTGTTGCTAAGAAGAGCGACGTGCTGCAAGAGTTCCAGAAGTGGCTGGTGCTGGTGGAACGGCAGACGAAGAAGTCGGTGTTGTCGCTTCGCTCCGATCGAGGAGGGGAGTTCCTCGGGAAGGCGTTCACCGACTTCGTCGACGGGAAGGGCATCGTCCACGACCTCACGTGCCCCTACACTCCGCAGCAGAATGGCATGGCTGAGCGGGAGATGCGCACGGTCGTCGAGGCCGTGCGGACGATGCTGTTGCATATGGGCGTGCAGCACCACTGGTGGCACCTTGCTCAACGACAGGCTGTCTGGGTGCGCAACTGCTTGGAGCGGTCGAGGATGCCGCCGGGGACGACTCCGTACCAGCTGCTGACCGGGAAGAAGCCCGACCTTACGCTGGCGCGGGTGTGGGACTCCATGGTGCAGTTCATGGTTCCCCAGCAGCAGCGCGGTGGGAAGCTGGCGCCAAAGGCTCGCTGGGGGCTTCACCTGGGTGTGTCGTCGGAGAGCAAGGGCTGGAAGGTGCTCAATCTGACCGACAACAAGGTGGTCACGTCGGTCGAGGTGATCTTCTATGAGACGCTGTCGCTGGAGGTGTGGAAGGCGAAGTATGGGCCGGCGTCGGGGCGGACGCAGGGGCACCCGCCGACGGACACCTCGACGGCGACGATTCCGTTGCTCGCCGAAGTCGACGAGCCTGCTGATGAGGATGCTGTGGAGGTTCTTCCACCTCCCCCTGTTCTTGCTCCTTCGTTCCCCGTCGCAGATCGGCCTGTGTCAGCACTTGTGTCGACCACCGACGATGAGGGGAGCCTTGAGGCGTCGCCTGTGGTGCCGGCCCATGGCATCGACGGCGGTCGACAAGGCGCCCAGCTCGTCGACCAGGATGGGAAGCCGTGAACGAGAGGGGAGCAGCAGACAAGGGAGCCGGTCGAACAGGAAGCAACAGCAGCGGTGCAGCCGACAGGGGAGCAGCAGCCGGGGCGGCCGACAGGGGAGCTGTCGAAGTCAGCAGCAGGCGAGCAGCTAGCTGGTCGAAGGGCCGAAGCAGCTGGTCGACGACGAGGACGTCGACGAGGAAGGGGAGCAGTCGGCAGGTGAGGAGTCCACCGACAGCGACGTGGTGGAAGTGCCGATCACGAAGCCTGAGCTGCGACGCACAGGTCGAGCTCGACGGCCGCCGGAGCGGCTGAGCTTCCACGCCTACCTACCACCAGCTGCCTTCACCACGGTGTACGACGAGGTCGACGACGACCTGTTGTACGACGACGCCGAGAAGGATGAAGACCTGCCGGAGCTCGACCCTGCCGTGCATGCCGACCCCGAACACCGCTGGGCCATCGCCACGATGACGGTGAAGGAGGCACTGTCGAGATGGAAGGGCGAGGCGGTGAAGGCCGCCATGGAAGAAGAGATCCGCAGCCTCATCGGTATGGGGACTTGGGAGCTGGTCGAACGCCCACGCGGGGTGAACATTATGAAGAACCGGTGGGTGCTGACGACCAAGTATCGCATCGACGATACCGTCGAGCGCGAGAAGGCGAGACTGGTCATGAAGGGCTTCACGCCGATGTACGGCGCCGACTACGACGAGACGTACTCGCCGGTGAGCAGCTACGTCACGTTGAGGATCTTCCTCAGCATCGTCGCCGTCCTCGACCTCAACCTGATGCAGCTCGACATGAAGAACGCTTTCCTACAGAGCAGGCTCGACAGGGTGCTCTACATGTACCAGCCGGACTACTTCGACGACGGGACCGGCCGGGTGTATAAGCTGCTGAAGAGCCTCTACGGGCTGAAGCAGTCGCTGCTGCTGTGGTACAGGGCTCTCGACAGTGTGCTGCTGGGCGCTGGCTAGAAGAAGAGCCAGGTCGACGAGGCGCTCTACTTCAAGGTCAGCGACGACGGAGTGACCTGTTGGGTGCTGGTCTACGTCGACGACCTGCTCCCCGCCAGCAGCAGCACCGCGATGCTGAAGGAGCTGAAGGAGCTGCTGGAGGCCGCCTTCGAGCTGCGTGAGATCTCGCCGGTGGTGAAGTACCTTGGGCTGGAGATCGTGCGCGGCAGGCCGGCCAGGAAGCTGTGGCTGCACCAGCAGGGCTACGCTGACAAGCTACGCAGGCGCTTCATCAACGAGGAGCAGGGCGGTCGAGTCCCGAAGACGCCTGTCTCGGTCGACGCCTACACTCAGCTGACGTTCGACGACGAGGAGGCTTAGGAGCGCGAGGTGGAGGAGTACCGGCAGAAGGTCGGCTCGCTGCAGTTCGCGGCGACGACGACGAGGCCGGACATCGCGTTCGCCTGCAGCAAGCTGGGGAGCGGCCTCACAGTGAGGAGCGACCAGCATTGGCGCGAGGTCGACCGCTGCCTCGCCTACCTCGCCGACACCCGCGACACCGCCCTGGAGTTCGGCGGTGGACCAGAAACGTTGGAGCTGATCGGCTACGTCGATGCCAACGACGCGGGCGACAAGCAGGACCGGATGAGCACGGGAGGCTACGTATTCGTCCACGGAGGGGCCGCCGTCTCCTTGTCGAGCTCGCGCATCAAGTGCGCGACATCGTCATCGACCGAGTTGGAGTACGTGGCGGCCATGGACGCCGGCAAGGAGGGGCATCGACTTCGCTTCCTCCTTGCGGAATTCAAGCTTCTCGACGCTGGACAGCCAACCATCCTCCACGTCGACAACAAGTCGGCAATCATGGTCGCTGAGGGCTTGGGCTGACGGGCAACCTCAAGCACATGGAGCGACGCTACGCCTGGCTGCAGCACATGTAGAGGCACGGGAAGTTCGTGCTGAGGTACATCCCGACCACCGAGCAGCCGGCGGACTTCTTGACGAAGGCGCTGCATTTTCCGGCCTTCAACCGGTGCTCTGTCGCCATCGGCCAAGTTCGTCTGGCCAACATCGGCGACGGCAACGACGAGGTGCAGCAGTAGGTGACGTGCCCTTCTGCACGGCTGGTGCGGTGACGGCGTGTTGTGTGTGGGGTGCACGCCGAGGACGAGTTTTCTCCGTGGAGTACTGCCGTATGGGCTGGAGGCCCAAGCGTGAGCGCGGCAGGGGAGTGTTAATGGGAGTGGAGTGTTGGCCCCGCCCTCGCTTGGGCAACGCGGACGACTTGGTCGGATGTACGGGAGTAGCAGCCGACCGTTCACAGTGGGAGAGCTGCTCGACAGGCTTCGTCGAGCTGCAGGGGACCGCTGTGGTGTTGCTGTCGACCAGGGAGCTCGACAGCTTCAACTGACTGGTCTGGGCGACGGGTGGGCCGTCGACCAGGAGGGGCAGTTCGACCGGGAGGTCGACGGAGCAGTCCGTCGACCTGCAAGTGAGCAGCGGTCGACGAGGGGAGCTCGGCGACAACCGCTGACAGTTCTGGTCGACGGAAGGGGTCCGTCGACCAGGGGGTAGCTCGACGGGAGCTCTGGTCGGCCAGGGGCACCTGTTGGTCGACCAGAGGGACCTGGTGGTCGACCATAGGCTGTGGTGGTCGACCGGAAACACCTGGTGGTCGACCAGGTCGACCGGGTAACCTGCTCGACGAGTTCGGCGGAGACACGCGAACGTCGTCGAGGTCGCGATGGCGAAGACGACTGCGGGCTGGTATTCCGAAGTCGATGTGGCTCGTCAGGTGCAGACAACAGCCGACGGATGCCCAGCGGGGCAAGTCGGGCCAATCGTCTGCGTGCACCTGCGAGCGTGCGCACTGCTGTGTTCTACGGGGCAACGCTGGGCAGCCGCTCTGCTGCAGCGTTGGCACGCCGTCGACCTGCTCTGTTGGCAGGTCGCCTTTCCGCAGTGCTGGCGCGGCTCCTCTACGCAACGCTGGTAGGCGGTCAACCAAGCTGTGCTGGCGGTCGACCAGGCTAGCTGCAGAGTTGCTAGGTTCCTGATGTAGTCATTCTTGTCATTGTGAACTCAATCAATTCTGTAATTTCGACTTTGCCTAGTGGAAACTCTTGACGATTTCTCCCGTGAATGTGCAAGCACTAAGGAACTAAGCAAAGCTACGATCACTCCTAGTAGTTTGTGCCAACCCCCGTGGTCTAGCTCACTACCATTGTAGAGTGATTCTCTGCAAGGAGGAAGGAAGGGAGAGAGAGATGTATCGAGGGCGTAGACTATGATGCAAAACCCTGTTTCTTCTCACTTCACCCATATCACCCCTCCTCTCCACCCCCACCTCACCACCTCCAGCACCTCCTTCTGTGAGAGTACGACGATTCATGCTGGCTTTGCTAGCTTGCCTGGACTTTACTATGATATTACTAGCTTAGGTTTTATTTATCATGCATAGATATACTTGATTTTCTAAGTTAGGCGCATTCCTATATTCTATTATAGTTATAGCACCGAACCAGGTTACGTCTACCGAACAGGTTCTGAACAGGTTGCCAAGTTTAGGAAGGTTCTGTTCGGGAGGCTTCGCAACCCTCGAAACATTCGCGTAACACCTGGGTTACCTGCCTTGTGTCGAGACTATATATAGTCTCGTGTTGTACACATGACAATGAATCATTTTACAACCCACTTTTTTGAACTCGATTCTCGATCCTCACATCTTCTCTCTCCAATACCTCCCTCCCCTCTACTCGCCCTGCCCGCTCCACCCCACGCCTTCCCTTCCCCCGCTTCACGCCCCACCAGGGAAGCCCCTCTCACCTTCCCCACCACGGCCCCAGGTCTCCCCTTCCCCTTCCACTCGGTGCTGTGCCTCCTCCCATCGGCGCGCAATGCATCAGTGCCAGTGCATCTGCTGCGAGAGGCGGTGGAGTACCATCGGCTGCAGGGCGCCGCCGTGGTGGCGCTGTACGACAGCGGCGGGTGGCTCGCCGTGGAGCTGCAGGAGCGCTTCCATGGGGACTTTGAGCGCAGGGTCGTGCGCCGCACGGACTTCATGGGCGTGAAGCAGTTTGACCTTGAGAGGAACGGGCAGGTGCGCGCAGCAACGCTTGCGCGTGTTTTCGCATGCATACGCACATACACAGTGTGCTTCCCTCTGCGTCTTTTCCCTTTCCAGGTGTTGGCAATGCATGTCTCTGTGCACCACCACACCTTTACGGCCCTTCCCCCTTCCACTCCTTTCGTTGCCACCCCGTTCCATCCCCTTTACCTGCCACCCCCACCACCCTTCAAACCCCCCCCACCCCCCTCTCCCCTCCACCAGGTGCTAGCAATGCACGACTGTGTGCACCGCCACGCCTTCACGGCGCGCTGGGTCATCCCTGCGGCCATTAACGAGTTCCTCTTCGTCGGCCTGCCGCCCGCCTCCATTCCCTCCTTCCTTGACCCCTTCGCCTACCCCGCCACCTCTTCCTCCGAGACCTCCCTCTCAGACCCCCTCGTTGATTCCGCCGCCACTGCCGCCGCCGCTGCGGTAACTGCATCCGGAGGTTCGGCAGCCGCGGCCGCCGAAGCTGCGGCGTACGTTCGGGCGGTGCCGTGGGTGAGCGTGGGCAGCCAGTGGTGGTCGACGCGACTGTGCGCGCTGCCGTTCCGCGTGCCTGAGGGCGAGGCGTTCTCGATGGAGCGCATGGTGTTCCGCTGGCCGTACCCCGTCTGCCACGACCGCATCCGCTTTCCCGACCCCCACCTCTGTCCCGGGGAGGCTGGCTTCCGCCACCTCATCATGGATCCACGCAAGGTGCGATGGGGTGGGGGGAAAGTGAGGGGGGAGGGGGGGTAGTGAATTGGTGAATGGTAGGGCAGAGGGTGCAAAAAGTACACATGTAGGTGGAGGGGCAGCGGGGTACGCAGGAGAGCAAGATAGTTGCGGCTACACCGCCCTTCGCTCAAACTACTCTCACGTCGTCGGTGTTTTATCAAAACGAGTGATTCAACTTGCCAATTCCAGACGACATCAGGGCGCTTTAGATCCAGTTTATAGCACATCATCAATGTTTGACGCATGTTTGTAGAAATCTGTCTGTGGACTCTATCCTTCGTTTTAGGCACATTTGAGCCTATTGTGACGATAACAAACGCAAGCGGAACTGATGTCACTATCGCGTCAATGTGAAAACGACCACTGAAACGTGGACGGAACCGGGATGGCAGATAAGAATGCCCAGGTTATGAGTGTCCAAAACAATCCGTCCTTGACTCCAATCATGCGGTCACGTCGATGGCGATCAGCATGATGTTTATGAAAGTTAAGAATCGTGATGAGCCGTCTCCCTTAACTACTGCATTGTGGTGATGAAGTCATGAGTGGTTTGGACGTGGGCCAGTGCGGTTGGCTGTTGTGGTGTAACGGGGTCACGTCCGTACCACAGGAAGAAGTGAGTTTTTTTCCTGTGGCCTCTTGTATAGTGTTGTTGTAGACGAACTCGAGTGTTGATTACTAGTTCCGTCTAGCCGTCTGTCTGGGGATGGTATGTTGAAGACTTTGGTAGCTTAATCCTCAACAATCCCATGAGTTTCCACTAGAACTGATCAGTGAACTCGGGTTTCTGTTTGAGATGAGTATCATGGGAATGTCGTGGTTGGTGTCGCTGTGTAGAGTTTGTGGAGTTTGTTGATGGACCAGTATGGATGAGCAAGGGGCGAACAAGAACTTGTTCGTGTTCGCCCCTGCACGACAGCCGTTCGTCGAACCGAACAGCAAAAACATATGGACCAGAGCTCGATGGAAGAGGTATCACCACCATGGGGAAGGAGGACGAGGACAGGGGAGGGAACGGTACCTTTGTGTTCCGCGTGGATCGCGAGAGGCGCTACCATGTGAGAAAAGCGGAAGCATGAAGAAGTGATACCTGGATTGAAAACCGCGGGGGTATACATATGTAAGAGAGCAACCGACCCGGCCCACCCCGTCCTGACCCGATTTGGGCGGGCCAAGCGGGCAGTGGGTCGGGTCAGGTCAGGTCTTAACGGGCCGAGGTTTGCAGAAACTTGGCCTGAAACGGCCTTGAAGGATAGGGTCGGGTACGAACGCTTTTGACCGATATTAAGCTCAAATCGGCGATTTTGCCCGCCGATTTTTGCAGATCGGCGATTTTGCTGGCTGATCTGCGGAGGTCGGAATTTTGCCTGCAATCACTCAGCCTAGGCACTCCCTCGTCCCCAACAAACGAGTTAGAACAGACATTCCCAACCAGTTCGCCACAGCTCACCACTCAACACCTCAGTGAACCTACAAGACCCAACCCCCACGACAGACCTGTCATTGAGCTCAGCCCAACCCCAGTGGCCCATAGCACATTTCTGTAGCTAGGGCTCCCTAGTACCCGACCTGATTTACAGCATTTTGACCCAATTCCCGGTCGGGTCACTATTGGGTCAAGACCCGACCCGACCAGGTTTGATTTTAGGAATCGGGCCATGGGTCGACCCGACCCAGCCGGGTCAGCATTTTGAAAGTCTGGGCCAACTCGACAAAAGCCGGGTCCCATGCTCACCCATCCGCATCCACGCCACCTTCTCCCTTCCTTCTCTTCCCTATTCCTCCGTTCCCTGCTCACCCCTGCCCCCACACCTCCCCCTCTCTCCATGACACACAGATTTCAGCACTGGGACTGCACGAGGCGGAGTCAGCATCGCGGGTGAGGGGGGTGCACGTGAGGAGCACAAAGGCCAACTTCAACCACCTGCAGGACGCTGTCATGGACCCCACCTCGTGGTGCCAGCACACGCTGCTCAAGAACGAGGTGCGTCACTGCAGTGCCCAATTGTGTTGCTGTGTGCAAGGCTGGTAACTGGGGCTGGCATGTGGGGGACAGCTCACCTGCAGGACGCTGTCATGGACCCCACCTCGTGGTGCGAGCACACGCTGCTCAAGACCGAGGTGAGTCACCCCATAGCACTACCGGGTATGTGCGGGGATAACCAGATGCTTTCAACCCAATCCTGCAATTCCTATCCCGATCATTTGCAAGGAACTCGCAAGAAGGCAGCTCAGTCCGCCCCTCCTGCATCGCGCTGCTTACGCTCCTGTTTGCCAGCCTGTGTGGTGCTCTGCTCCCATGCTCTGGCTTGGCCTGGTGTGGAATTCTGTTGTGTGGCGGGGCACGGCACGGCATGCTATGGCACGGCATGGCATGGCATGACATGGCACGGCACGGCACGACATGGCACGGCACGGCGCGGCGTGGCGTGGCGTGGCGTGGCGTGGCATGGCATGGCATGGCATGGCATGGCACGGCATGGCATGGCATGGACAGGTGCCAGAGTTCTATGTGCGAGACGTCTATCTGCGGGAGGCAGCCCAGTCGGTGCGGGCGGGGCGAGTCTGCGACTTCACCAGAGGCCGAGTCAGTCCCTCCTAGCCCTGCTCCCCCTCCTGCTCTCCCTCCCTGCTCTCCCTCCCTGCTCTCCCTCCTTGTGCTGTACTCCTTGTTGGACTTTTCGTGATTTCTTGTATGTCGTCTCGCTGCACCGCCGCACTCTGCGTGCCCAATGCCTTCCACCTCCTTGCCTGCTTAGATTGCCCACCATATGTCAGCACAGGGGACATAGCAGCACACAGGGGGCATGGCAGCACACATGGGGGCATGGGAGCACTCATTGGTTACAGTCACACATACATATCCATGGGTCACGTGTTCATCCCTCCCAACCCTCTCTTGTGGTGCATGCATTGCCATGTGCCCCCCTACAGTGTGTCCCTGGCCCAGACTAGATCTCTCTGCAAATCCACAACGCAAGGCCAGGTGTGGAACGCTGCTAAGAACCACGACGCTTCTCCGACTTGCTTTTGAGAACTCTCAACAACGCTGCTTCCTTTGACCCAACTGGGCAGCACTCTCGTGGGTGGCAAGGAGGTGGCACCATGGGGTGCATCGGACCAGATTGGTTGAGGATAGCAAGTGCTGGAGCAGCACACATGCACTCTAGGTGCTTCAGTGAATGGTTGTTAGAAGTCAGTGGATCACAAGCCTGTTGATTGGACTGGACAGCGATAAATACTAAGGTGCATCAATACCCCGTTTACCACGCCCTTTTTTACCAGACCTGTCCTGAATGTGTATGGGCATTTCCAAAACATTTCCAGCTTGAATGAAGTTACTATGGAGCGTGCTTAAAATAGCACGCCCCCTAAAAGAACGCATTTTATTATGGCGGTACTACCATCTCAAAATAGAAACATTGGAATGATTTCACAAGCAAGGAGCAGTACAAATACCAACCCTAGAGATGGGTTGTGCTCCCTATAATGTTACTCACTGTAGCCTAACAAGCTAATTTAACATCTGACAATATATAATCGTGGACCCCAGAGTAATTGTAGGGGATTTGTATTGGATAATAAAAATATCAAATATATCTGCTGGCCTGCAAATGCCTATACACACCAACAGTACCCAAACCCACTTAGTCTGGCAATCTGACATTTGAGAACCATCTGTCGTGGAGAGTATGTTTGAGGTAAAATCTGTGGTTGCTAATGTCCAGCTCAAACGAATGGCCTCCCCCGCATAGGATGGACCCAGCTAGAAACACGTGGGCGTGTGCGCACAACAGCTTGTCCAATATGGCCACTATGCCTGTGCGAGGGTTGAAAGAATGAGGGGACGAAAGTGAGTGGTAGAACGCAATAGAAGAAGAGGCGTGTAAGAAAGGGCGAGGGTTGGCATGGCAAATAGGAGCAACTGAGAGCACTTTGCTGGAACAATATGGGAGAAAGGAGAAGGGGTGTAGGACAAAGTTCCTGCCAGGTACATATTGCCACCTGAACAGCCACCCAAGAAGGCACCCACTCAGGCGACGTGCACTGACCGGGGTCGTACTTGTTGACGGCGGGCATGAGCTCGTCCACCATCACTGTGCCCGCCACCTGCTCCCTCAGCCACCGCAGCTTCTCCCGCGGGGCCTGCAGCGCCCTCTCTTTCTCCGCCCCTTGGAACTTCCACGTGGTCTCGTTCCACGAGTCCGACCGCACCACGCTGCCTGCCTTGCCGTCAAACGGCACGTCGGCGGCGATAAAGACGGCGGAGATGTTGTGGCGGCGCTTCATGCCGTTGATCAGGTCGCGCGCCGCCTCCATGCACCCCGCCATCAGCCCCTCCAGCACACCTGCTTCCAATTTGTAGCCGACTTTTGCTAGCCTGTGCCCCTACAAGGTGGGTGAGGTGGGATTAGGGAAGCAGCAAGAAGCGAATGAGCTTACCAGGTTGAAAGCAGTGAGCTTACCAGGTTGAAAGCAATGAGCTTACCAGGTTGAAAGCAGTGAGCTTACCAGGTTGAAAGCAATGAGCTTACCAGGTTGAAAGCAGTGAGCTTACCAGGTTGAAAGCAATGAGCTTACCAGGTTGAAAGCAATGAGCTTACCAGGTTAAAAGCAGTGAGCTTACCAGGTTGAAAGCAATGAGCTTACCAGGTTGAAAGCAGTGAGCTTACCAGGTTGAAAGCAATGAGCTTACCAGGTTGAAAGCAATGAGCTTACCAGGTTGAAAGCAGTGAGCTTACCAGGTTGAAAGCAATGAGCTTACCAGGTTGAAAGCAATGAGCTTACCAGGTTGAAAGCAGTGAGCTTACCAGGTTGAAAGCAGTGAGCTTACCAGGTTGAAAGCAATGAGCTTACCAGGTTGAAAGCAATGAGCTTACCAGGTTGAAAGCAATGAGCTTACCAGGTTGAAAGCAATGAGCTTACCAGGTTGAAAGCAGTGAGCTTACCAGGTTGAAAGCAATGAGCTTACCAGGTTGAAAGCAATGAGCTTACCAGGTTGAAAGCAGTGAGCTTACCAGGTTGAAAGCAATGAGCTTACCAGGTTGAAAGCAGTGAGCTTACCAGGTTGAAAGCAATGAGCTTACCAGGTTGAAAGCAATGAGCTTACCAGGTTGAAAGCAGTGAGCTTACCAGGTTGAAAGCAATGAGCTTACCAGGTTGAAAGCAATGAGCTTACCAGGTTGAAAGCAGTGAGCTTACCAGGTTGAAAGCAGTGAGCTTACCAGGTTGAAGCAATGAGCTTACCAGGTTGAAAGCAATGAGCTTACCAGGTTGAAAGCAATGAGCTTACCAGGTTGAAAGCAATGAGCTTACCAGGTTGAAAGCAATGAGCTTACCAGGTTGAAAGCAATGAGCTTACCAGGTTGAAAGCAATGAGCTTACCAGGTTGAAAGCAATGAGCTTACCAGGTTGAAAGCAGTGAGCTTACCAGGTTGAAAGCAATGAGCTTACCAGGTTGAAAGCAATGAGCTTACCAGGTTGAAAGCAGTGAGCTTACCAGGTTGAAAGCAATGAGCTTACCAGGTTGAAAGCAGTGAGCTTACCAGGTTGAAAGCAATGAGCTTACCAGGTTGAAAGCAATGAGCTTACCAGGTTGAAAGCAGTGAGCTTACCAGGTTGAAAGCAATGAGCTTACCAGGTTGAAAGCAATGAGCTTACCAGGTTGAAAGAAGTGAGCTTACCAGGTTGAAAGCAGTGAGCTTACCAGGTTGAAAGCAATGAGCTTACCAGGTTGAAAGCAATGAGCTTACCGGGTTGAAAGCAATGAGCTTACCAGGTTGAAAGCAATGAGCTTACCAGGTTGAAAGCAGTGAGCTTACCAGGTTGAAAGCAATGAGCTTACCAGGTTGAAAGCAATGAGCTTACCAGGTTGAAAGCAATGAGCTTACCAGGTTGAAAGCAATGAGCTTACCAGGTTGAAAGCAATGAGCTTACCAGGTTGAAAGCAATGAGCTTACCAGGTTGAAAGCAGTGAGCTTACGAGGTGGAAGGCAATGAGCTTATGTGAGAGCACGCTGTCCGTTTCTATCTGAAATATATTTTATTTACAATTATGTGCTTATTTCCTGGTTCGTTTCTTTTACTGTAGTTATTATAGTTTTAGCACCGAATAGGTCGCTTGCACTAAGTTCTGCCTCATTTCGGTTATTTCCGCGTGACTTTGCGTACGTGTGATATACGCCGAATTCCTTCTACCAAATTCAGGAAAATTCCATTTTCGACGATTCCCGAGCCTCGGTACCTTATATTAACATGCCAGTTATCTGCTTTGTGTCGTGCCTATAAAGTCACGTAGTCATAATCTATTTTCTTAACTCGATATTAGATTCCCACAGCTTACCAGGTTGAAAGCAATGAGTTTACTTGGTTGAAGGCAATGAGCTTACCAACTTGGAGGCAATGAGTTTACAAACTTGAACGCAATGAGCTTACCAGGTGGAAGACAATGAGCTCACCAGGTTGATGGCAATGAGCGTACCAGGTTGAAGCCATGAGCTTCCCAGGTTGAAGAAAATTAACTTACCAGGTTGAAGAAAACGTACTTACAAGATTGAAGGCAATGAGCTTACCAGGTTGAAAGCAACGAGCTTACCAGGTGGAAAGCAACGAGCTTACCAGGTCGAAGGCAATGAACTCACCAGGTTGAAGGCAATGAACTCACCAGGTTGAAGGCAATGAACTCACCAGGTTGAAGGCAATGAACTCACCAGGTTGAGGGCGATGTGTTAGTGTTAGCCCTCAATCTCACACTTTGTATTTGTACTTTCTATATCCTAACGTAGTGTAGTTTGCACATTGTGTTTGGTTGGGTGTAGACCTACATCCAAACCAAAACCCAAATGTGATCTCCAAGCAATCTCCAAATCACCAATTTGGAGATTGCCTTGGGATTACCCCTAATCCCTAAAGATTGCCCCCGATTCCCTTCCCCATCCTTTCCTTGCCTATTTTGGATGTACTTAAAGAGCTTCGAGCCCTTTAGTAATGTATAGATTGGATTCTAACCTCAAGTTCTGACACGATGGACTTACCAAGTTGAAGGCAATGAACTCGGAGCGGTAGTGCACCGCAATGTACCGGGGGGGCAGGCGAGCCAGGGCTCGATGCGCCGTGGCATGCCATGCTCGGTTGTACGGAAACATGTTGAAGGAGATGGCTTCTGTGGGAGGTTTAAAGTCCACCAGACCGAAGGTGCTCTTCACCCACACCAGCACATCTGTGTGCCGCCTGCAAGTGTGGAGGAGTTGTACAAAGGATGCAGCAACAGGCAATGACGTGGACATATCATATCCATAAGTTAAAGCCGGAAGCCCAAATTGCACAAGTTTTAAAAGGATGACGCAAGGGTTTTTTTCTGGGTTTGGGCTTTGGCGAGTGATTCCAATTTCGAGCATTCCGTTTTTTTCGCCAAACCCAGCCAACCCACGTATTTCGCCCTGGGGGTTGTGTCAACACCCGAACGTCCCAAATTGCAGGTGCGCTGCTTTTCAAAGCTTGCACACTGCACTTCGTCAAGTTGTATAAGCATGATCCACGCGCCTCGCAATTTGGGACTCGGGCTTTAATTCTAAAACCTGGATCCACGGCATCCAGAAGTACGAAGCAAACAATGTAAGGAAAGGGATCGTACAGATGACATTCAGCATGGAATGGCGCACCACTTATGCAACTGGTGGAAAACTGCTCTGCTGTTGACCGGCATGGCGATGTCAAGAGTGTTGCGTCTTGACGGTGCATGGCCCATGCCATACACCATCAGCTCACTCAGCATGTCCACCAGAGACCCTGCACACCAAGGGCAACAATATTGTGTTTCTCCAATCTCCGACCAGATATTATTGGATGTACTGCCATGGAATGGAGCCAGGACTAGGGATTGCAGGTTAAACAAAACGTGAGCAGGCACTTTGGCCGATGGTACTTGCTTTGACTAAAAGGCATGTGCCATAGTTGCTGCATCTGCAGATGCACGAAGGCCACGGAAGGGCTGGTGCCAGGTGCGGCAGCAGCAAAGGGGGGGTTGAGAGCGGCTCTAGCGAGGAGCAGGAAGAGGTCGGGCGAGATCCAGTGGGCATCGAGGCGAGAGAGGTCGAAGTAGGCGCATAGGGGCAGGTCACGGGCGAGTGAGAGGCGGCTGCGACTGCACTGAGGTGGTTGCGGTGTGAGGAGTGGGGGAGGGAGAGAGGGGGATGGGGCGAAAGGGAGAGGGGGAGAGGGGGAGGCGGGGAGGAAGGGAATGAGAAAGTGGAGTCCCACAGAGAGGTGCGTTGGTTGCCTCTTAGCCCTTCGCGTAAGCCTGCAGGCATTGCAAACGGAGTGGCACCTTGGGTAGCACGCAAATGGTACCTTGGCCAGCAGCACGCAAGTGGTACCTTGGCCAGCAGCACGCAAGTGGTACCTTGGCCAGCACACAAGTGGTACCTTGGCCAGCACACAAGTGGTACCTTGGCCAGCACACAAGTGGTACCTTGGCCAGCACACAAGTGGTACCTTGGCCAGCACACAAGTGGTACCTTGGCCAGCACACAAGTGGTACCTTGGCCAGCACACAAGTGGTACCTTGGCCAGCACACAAGTGGTACCTTGGCCAGCACACAAGTGGTACCTTGGCCAGCACATAAGTGGTACCTTGGCCAGCACACGAGTGGTACCTTGGCCAGCACACAAGTGGTACCTTGGCCAGCACACAAGTGGTACCTTGGCCAGCACACAAGTGGTACCTTGGCCAGCACACAAGTGGTACCTTGGCCAGCACACAAGTGGTACCTTGGCCAGCACACGAGTGGTACCTTGGGCAGCACGAGGATGCGGTTGGTGGCTTGAGCGAAGCGGGCAGCCTCTGCGAGGTGAGAGCGCGTGCTGGAGAGCTGCTCGTCAGAGTGGGCAAACACGAGGAACTTACTCGCTCTGGTGGCCTGGGGAGGGGGGAGGAGAGAGGGAAGGGGGTAGTGGAATTGGTGGAGTGATTTTTATGTTCCCTAGTGGAGTGCGAAGCGAGCAGTAATTGGGGCAGGGGAGGGGTTGAGGGGATGAAGAGAGCAGGAATTGGGTGGAGAGGTGGGGGGGGGAGGGAGGAGGGGAGGGGAGGGAGGGGAGAGGCGGGGCCAGGGGGCGAAGGGGAGCAGTGAGAACCGCTTGCTTGGGTAGGCAAAGTGAGAAAGCTTGCGTGTTCAGATGGAAAGAAGCCTTAGGAAGACAATAGTAGGGTGAGGAAAAGGGGAGAATAAAGAAGGGAATTGGGAGCACCTTGACATCGGAGAAGGGCATGTGCGGCACCGGCCAGCACGCCTCAGGCCACGTGCCACGCTTTGCTCCTGCGCCTTCTCCTACTCCTGCTCCTGCTCCTGCTCCTGCTCCTGCTCCTTCCCCTGATCCTGATCCTGCTCCTGCTGTTCTTCCTGCTTCAGCTGCCAGCACCTTGCCATCCTCGCCACCCGCGCTACCCTTGTCTGCGAACTCGCCCACCAATCTGCCTTCCACCTCCCGCACCCCGCGGCACACAGCATCCACGCCCGCTTCTATCCGCGCCAGTGACGTCAGGTTCCGCCTCACCGCCCTCGCCACGAACGCGCTCGACGCAGCTCGCGCCATGGCCGCCCGCCGCCAGGTCGCGGAGCACAGCAGCGCGGCGGAGTCGGCTGGAGCAGCACCAAGAGCAGGAGCAGCAGCGGGAGCACCAGCAGTAGCGAAAGTAGCAGGAGCGGCAGGAGCAGCGGCAGGAGCAGCGGCAGGAGCAGCAGCAGCAGCAGCAGGGCTGTCAGCGTGGCTATCAGCGAGGATCATAGGGATTTTAGATTCGAGTGTGAGCTGAGAGTGGGGCCTCGCCCACAGATTCTGCGACTCCCCGCCGGGAGTGGGCCACTGACAGCCGGCGGCCTCGGCCTCTCTCCGCCTCGCTGCTCCCGCCCACTGCTGCAGTGCGTTCTGCAGCTCCCTTCCACACGCGGCTGCGGCACGCCGCTGCGGCGGAGTCAGCGCCGGCTTGTGGCTGTTCGGGAAGGAGTGAGCGTGGAAGTTTCTCAAGGCCGTCACGCAGTTGTCGCTCATCATCGTGAGTTCGCCAAGCGGTTGACTGGGAGGAGCCTGAGGCGAGGAAAGGTCACTGCGGCTACTAGTAACTGACGCACAACTGGCGGCGCCAGCAATGTCGGCGACGGGATTGGTTACGAGGGGAGCGAATAGATTGTTTGTCAGGTTTTTCGGAGTAGCGTGGGGCGATGAGTAACATACTCGAAGGAGGCACGAGACGACGAGTGGTAACGCGAACGTGCGGAACACTCGTTCAACCGAACAGCTAGTAGTACGACCTCTCGAGACCGTTGCAACCCATTCTTCCCACCGCAGCACTCGCATCGCAAGAGTAGGTCATTCACAGCGGAAAAAAAACGCTGGCCTGGCAGGAAACGCGGCATATCGAGTTGCCGTGGTTCGCTGTTTGCTAGAGAGTTGGACGCAGCTGAAGTATTGCTGGGAAGCGGGACAGGAGGAAGGCTAGTTCCAGCAGTGGTGGGGGGGCAACGCATGAACGCGAGTTTCGCGCGTGATGGAGAACCGACTCGCACGGCCGAGAAGCGAACCTGGTTATCATCACGTGCGAAAGCTGCGACTTTCCAGTTGCTTGCGAAGAAAGCCACTTATACAAACAGGCCCCGAGAACAAGCAAACCGCCGAAGCAGGCTGAAGGAGCCGTCTCAAAAATCGAGATCCCTTCCAATCCGAACCAAATCACAAGATTAGGTTACCACGAACCACGACGATACCTCACTGAACTCCTTCACAACTATCCAGCATCCCCCCAAGGCTGAAATCCGTCCGAACCGAACACGATTCCACTTCTCTGATCAGAGCCATCACAGCCAACCAAAGCACAGTTAGCAACCAATCAATATCGTGAAACCTAGTCACAACCAATACCATTGCGCAGACATCCCAGAGTATCGTAGGCCTTGATAATCCGCACGTTTTGATACATAAAAGAGCATTTATCTTAGCGGTAACAATCATGGAGCTCGGTTGCACGCGAGGTAAGCCACGTTTCCAAATCGTAACAGAGATGTCTTCTCATCGCCACCATGGTAACCAGCATTGCCGATATGGTCAACATTATTGCCTGAATGGTAATGAACAGTGCATCCGGAAATCCTGGCTGGTAACTTCGCGTTCCAACCAAACTGTACACCGTACAAGTCAGGTTTGACTCAGCAAAACGAAACTGACTGTCCACGTATACACCCACAGAATGCGCAATTCTGTTTATAATACCGGCGTTTACAATCCCAAACAGTAAAACCTCGAAATGCAAACTTGTAATCCGTAACAAAAACAAAATACAATCATATAGCCTTAGCTATCAAACAAACCCCACAAAAAAAACACTCACACAAAGGTATCCTAGTGATAAATTATTTGAAACTGATTATTTTACCCTTTTCGAATATTAAGAAATGGAGCTAGCCCAAGTTACAATAATTTCAATATCAATTTGAACAATACTAATTTTGCATATAACAGACAATAAATGTGAAGAATGAGGAATGAATTGACTAGGAAACATGTGGGTACAAGTACGAAACCTAGAAGTGTTGTACCCTATAGTATCTACCCCACTACAGCCTAGATAGACTATAGCATATAAGTTTGACACACCCCCATAGGCAAAGTGGGGGAGAACAAGAGGTCACAAGACCAGTCAAGCAAAGCACAGTAAGCTCAGGGTGGATCACAACGTCACCACACATTCCGAGCACAAGTTCAAGGCCACAAGGCCAGTTCACATGCAAGATTATATATAAAGGTAAACAAGCAAGTGCAGGTATAGAGAGATCACAGTACAAGAAAGGTCAAGAAGTGAGCAAGTGAGGCCAAGTAGGCACAAGACCTAGCATCGTACAAAAGCGCTGATGATCACAAGGCTGAAGTGCCTTGGTAAAGATATCAGCAGTGTTGGCCTGAGAGGCCACGTAAGCAAGGCGCAGCTGACCACGCTGCTGCAGCTCACGAGCAAGGAAGTAGCGAAGAGCAATGTGCTTCGTTCTGTGCTCCAGTCTGTGCTCCCGACACAAGGCCAGCATGGCCTTGTTGTCCACGTACAGAACTGGAGGAGAACGAGGCGGCTCTCCCAGGTCGGTCAGCAGGTAGGTGAGCCAGCGTAACTCCTGTGCAGCCATGGCCCCTGCGTAGATCTCGGCCTCACACCTGGAGCCGAGAACAGAAGACGAGCGGGTAGACCGCCACGAAACAGAGCCGGAACCAAGACTGAAGGTGTAACCCTGTGACGACCGCTGAGTAGCCAAGTCGTCAGCCCAAGAAGCGTCTGCGTGACCAGCCAGGACCACTGAACTCCGCCCTCCAAGCACGAGCCCCATGCCCGACGTACTGCACAAGTAGCGCAACACCCTCTTCGCAGCAGCCATGTGCTCTGGTCGGTGTCTCCCAGGAGCAACATAGCGTGCTAAGATGCTAAGAGGGTATGCTAGGTCAGGACGAGTGCAGGTCATCAGGTACATGAGGCAGCCAACAAGCTCTGGGTACGGGCCACTCGGCTCTACGGACTCATCCGAAGGCAGAGCTGAGAGCGAGTGGTGAGTAGACAGAGGAGTGGCCTAAGGCGAGGAGTACGTGAAGTCGAAGCGCTGAAGGACCTGCTGCACCATGTGTGACTGAGTCAGAGTAATGGTGCGCCGTGCTCTGTCCCGGGTGATCTGCAAGCCAAGATAGCTGCGCAGTTCACCCAGGTCTGTGCACGCGTGTCTCTTCTGCAGCTCGGACTTCACGTGGGCGAGTCCAGCAGTGTCAGCAGTAACAAAGACCAAGTCGTCGACGTACACGAGGATGTAGAACGGCGGCAGCGAAGTGTCGGTGCGTAGAAACGGCGACGGGTCAGCAGTAGAAGGAGCAAACCCAAGAGCCGCTAGCGTAGTCCTCAGTGTGTCGTGCCACTCACGGGGAGCCTGGCGGAGACCGTAGACTGGCCGCCGGAGGCTCCACTAGGTACCAGGAGGAAACGACCCAGTGAAGCCAGGAGGGCGGCGCAGCCAGATCTCCTCGTGCAGGCTGCCCTGTAGGAAAGCAGTGCTGAAGTCAAGAGAGTGAAGCTCGTAGTCGCGCTGAGCGGCTATGTGCAGCAGCACCCGAAGAGTGGTCATCTTCGGGGTGGGGGAGAAGGTCTGAAAGTAGTCAACTCCCTGCCGCTGACTGAAGCCTCGAGCCACGTAACGTGCCTTGAAGACAGGCGGAGAACCCGGCGGCCGCTTCACCCTGAAAATCCACATGCCACTGACGATGTTCGCCCCAGGTGGGGGAACCTCGTCGATGTAGGTGCCTGTGGACTTCCAGGAAGCCATCTCTGCGTCCATGGCTAACTGCCACTGAGAGGAGTAGGGACCCTCTATCGCCTCTGCGCAAGAGCGCGGAGTCGGGATGTCAAGTGCATCCGGGTCTCCCTCAGGGGCAATCAGCATAGACACGAGATGAGGTAAAGCAGCAGCAAAACACTGGAACTCCTCCTGCCTGTCCTCAAGGACGTCCGTGCCAAGAGCACACTCACCCCCGACGGACGGAGGACAGACAGACTCAGACTCAGCAACAAGACTGGCGGCGTAGTCTAGACGACAGTGAGCAGCGAAGTCGACAAACTCAGCAACTAAGGCAGACGCAGCAGTGGACTCAAAGGAAGGGTCAGTGACAACAGTAGCCAGAAGACGCGTGACAGTAGGACTGGCAGCACGAAGGGAGTCAGACTCCGGGTCAGCAAGAGCAGGTAGAGAGGACGCAGGAGGAGACGGCAAAGGGACACGCAGTGGAGCAGTGGAAGGACGCAGTGCCATCTGGTGCGTGCCCGGGACCGCAGGAGGACGCTGACGTGGAGTACGACGACTAGTGCGAGCAGCGCGAACAGGCGACGCAGGACGAGACTCAGGCTCACGACGCTCAGCAAGACCTCCAGTAGGACCAGTGTAGGGAGGAGGAGCAGGCAGTGGGGAGGCGAGCTGTAACTGTGACTCGGACTGGACAGACGGTGGACACTCTAAGGAAGGAGCAGGACCAGTAGAAGGCGGGAGACCAAGAACCTGCTGAAGGAGCGGAACGAAGTACGGCCGCGGCCGCGCAGCGCCTCCAGAACCAGCAGGGAGAGCACCAGCACCCCCAGCGTCAGCACCAACGCCAGTAGTACCACCAGCTCCAGCAGCACCCCCAGTAGCTCCAGCAGCGCCAGCTCCAGCACCCCCAGAAGCACCAGCTCCAGCAGCACCTCCAGCGCCAAGACCTCCAGCAGCGCCAGCTCCAGCAGGACCACCGGAAGAAGCAGCAGCACCAGCTCCAGTAGTACCTGCAGTAGCGCCTACGCCAGCAGCACCTCCAGCTCCAGCACCAGCAGCACCACCAGGCCCAGCAGCTCCAGTACCGCCGGTACGAGCACCTCTGGGACCCGTGGCTCCAGAACCTCCAGCAGCCGCAGAACCTCCAGCACCGGTAGAACCACTAGCTCCAGCAGCACGACTCCAGCGGCGAGCAAACCACTCACGCAGCTCCTGGGGAGAGGGCAGCTCCCGCCGGGACGAAGCACCCGAAGGACCTCCAGGCCCAGCACC